GTTGTGTCTTGTCATCCTGTCTATCTGACGAACAGGCGAGGGAGTTGTGTCAATGTGCTGCTGGTGATGCCGGGTCTGACAAATCAACAGAACTGTATCCTTTCGACCAAAATGATCGCGCTCGTCATGATCCGATGTGCCCCTTGATCAGACTCAAGTCACAACATTGCTCCTCGAAACTGGTTGAAGTCTGGCGTCTTGGCATGTTACAGGACAGAGAAAAGGGAGACATTCGCAACCATATAATCAACGCTGCCACCAAGACTGTAGCCAAGGTTACAAGAGTTCATAAGGATCTCCCGTACGGGAACGTCCATATGAGTCTTATGATGGGGCCGCTGCTAATCGAAAATGGAGTCCCTCAGTTTGTACCCTTTCTTTCTCTGGCACCTCTATTCAGGTCGATTGAAAAGATTTCTGACCTTTGTTATATTAGATCCATGGGCGGTGTGCTGTTCACGGTTCGAGATCGTCTTCAATTACATCCAGTAGATATTCCTACAAGCTCAGTGACCAGGTGCTTTGCTCTCAGCGAAGACAGACAGCTATACAGGACGGAGAGACATATACCCAGAGACCGCGGAGTCAAAGTCTTGATGAAACAGATAGTAGGCAGTCCGTTCTGGAGTCTGAGAGAAGAGGATCGTATCGCCGAGACAGAAATCATCAAGGATGTAGCCAAGGCCAGTCTAGCTTATATCGACATCCTGGGGGAAGAGTCCAAGCGACACAGACAGAATAAGTCAAAGGCAAGGAAAGAGATCCTCAGAAAGCTTCATAAACTCCTAGATGAGCGTGTTGAGATCTACCTTCACTCCATTGTCAACAAACTTTTCGACAGAAGTTTGCCCCTTGGTTGGTTCTGCTCTCTTTCTCCCCTTATCCTGAAGGTCTACTCTCCACGCATGTATGCGACTTGATTTTTGTGACGAATTCGATCCGAAGTTGAACAAAAAAAAATTAACCTTCACCTCAGAGTGGAATCTAGGGAGCAACAACTGTCAAAAGTTCTGTGACGCTCTGATAGACCGCAACGCCTTCGGCAGCTTCATGGTCTATCCCCGGCATTGCGAGGAGAAGAAACATGACGGTCAGGCATCTCAAGTTCTCTATTTGATGAGCTTTGTCAGCCGGATTGGCTGTCACGATGGATTCACCAGGCGGGTGATTCCTTCTTCGAGGGCGACATCCGCGAACAGCCATACCGAGGAGTTTCTCCTTCGATTCCGCCGATTCGCTCACCACAACGACACAGACATTTTTGACAGCTTGATAGAGTACTGGACCGATTGGGGAGGATTTCGGGCGCCGATATTTCGACACCAAGGCCTCTTTCCGTGGGACTGTACTGAAGCGCGCACTCTCAAGGAGGAGGCCGATCACCCGCAAGCGAAGTGTGGGGATTGCTCCTTGGCTAAGCACCTTTGGGCCTTTCCGTTTGATGCCTGGTCAGTAGCGCAGCTTCACCTTCTCAAGGAACACCGTTTCTATGCTCCTGTGCCAGCAATCGGGGGAGACAATCAAACTGTGTTGAGCGACAAGGACTGGGAGGACAACAGATTTGGCGTGCTCGAAGCGCTGCATGTCCTTGGCAGCATGGCGGTTGCGATGCACAGATCCCAGGTTTTTCAAGACAGGTGTCGATGGAATTTCAAAGCTCGCGGTCTGCCGTTCGAAAACACTCCTGCAGACCAGAACATATTCCACAAAGGTCGCGTGACTACATTACGACAGCACATCAAAAAGAGGGTAGGCAGACTTGTCGTCCAGCCGAATGGCCCTCTCATTATCCACGATCGCATAAAGCTCGCAGGCATTCATCGGGCCCAGCCCATGAGTTACCTCTACGAGCATGGCATGCACCACGACTGCACGCTGGCTGACTGGGCTGACCTGAATCACAATGGGCAAGTGGCGGCTTACACGGCGCTACGTGACTTTCGATCACAGCACGTAGATGAGATCATCGAGGACGCAAAGCGAAGGGCGGAATCTAAAACTTCGCATCCTAATGGCCCGTTCAGAGGCCCTGGTATCGATATGAACGCCACCTCCAGTATAGGAACTGGGGATTGGCTACCTGAAGACCTGGTTCCAGAAGATTGTGATGGATCTTATGCAGAAGTGGACTACGAAGCGAACGTTGATACAGGTAATTGCGACTGTCTGTGCGATGCTACGGGTCTATCGGGATTTCAACACTCTACGGTAGATGGCGGGTGGAGCTTCAGTGATGGCGGGAGCGGATTTCTTGCCGACACGAGCTCCATGGGGCTTAATACCTCAAACGGTAGTAACGGAGGTAGCGGCAATGAAAATACCGGCAATGGAGGCAGCGGCGACGGTGGTAGCAATGATAGAAGTGGCGGTGGTGATGGTAGTGGGAGTCACGGAGGGGGCGATTCCCATGCAGGAAGTACTATCAACGACCAATCATGGCAGAGTATTATGGGTATGTTTTAAGACGACGAGAGGATATCTGTATTGTTGGAGAAGCTGTCATCGTTGTCTGCCGTCTGGGCTCAGCCGTGATACCGTCTCTGCTGAAAATAAAGTCGGAGCATCAAGTCTTTTGGCGGCATAGCGGGCGAGTCCACGCCGCAAATGGTGGGATTTCTGGACATCGACTCGTCCAAGTGCTGGTACATGTAGGTATATTTAGGTATTCTTGAGTCAACGCCCCGCGTACACGAATCTAATTAACAGGGTTGTCTTACGTTGAGAACCTTGTGGTTTAGCCAAGGCACATATTCTCGCCATTATTGAAACGGGGACTATGATTAATGAGATTTGGAAGATCATGCTCAAAACACCAAGCTGACCCTTGAATCATCAACGACCTTGAACAGAGCCCAGGAAGAAGAGGCTATCGTCAAAGCACGGACAGTAACCGTGCGGCATGGTTGTAGTCTCTAGTTACATATTGGCCTGGCCGGGGTGTCGTTGTGTAACACATGCAGTAGCTTTATCCCCGCCGAAGCGTCAGCCGAGCGGTAAGCCTTGCCCAGTGAGTCCCTTTGTCCCACAATAGCAATCCCAGCGAAGCTGAGATCCGTTGACAGCCGCGGACAACGGCCCCGCGGGCCGTCTGAGTCCCTGATTCATGACGGCCGCACTCGTTGCGAAGGCGTTTGTCTAGCGCTGTGGTCCCCTTGCCAAGCTTGCCAAACGATGAGGCGTGAGCGAAAGCTTAAGTCGACGTTAACCCGCAATGGGATATGATCCCAGCAACTTCAGATACGGGGGTCCCAGCAAGAGAAAAGCACTGACAGCCGTAAAGATCAGCTCCACATTTCGATTGACTTTCGATTTACGACTTGCCGCACCCCCCTTATCCGTGTAAGGTAGTGTAGAACAGCGTATCAGCTTTTGTCTGGCAGTGGGGGTCCCTGCGGGAGATAAAGGCTGACATCAAACCCTATTCTCGTCGATTGCCATTAGCAGTAATTTACCCCAGCTGATATCTGTAGATCCCTTCCCTCGTTTGTCCTCAACAGCATCACATATGACTAGATATCTCGGTTATGTGATTGACGCCTGATTCATGGCGGCCGCACGGTAACACCGTTGTCTGGCGCCGGGGGATGTGGCAAACGTCGGCCCGGATGCGAAACCTTACGCCCGAGTGTGGGGCAGACCCGACCGGGTTCCGGCTTTGAACCAACTACATTCCTTCTGGTTAGTATACAAGGCTCTCTGCGCGGACAGAGCACGTGTAAATGCGGCTATGGAAGACCCTTGAAGGGCTTCTCGGAAAGTCTTCCCGACATCACCAGTCAAATCTCGGCCGAGTCGGGGTCCCGGCCTTGGGCGAATACTCCGTAGGCCTCTAGTGTTCCACAGCTCCGCCACGGTCATTTGGGGCCTCCTGGCCTGCCTCGGCTTGGCATGATAGCAACGCGGGGCGGCGGGGGTCAACGTCCCGCATCTCGCCCCGGGGTTTCTCATTGTCCGGGGAGTTAGAACGTCAAATTGTCCGCTAACTCCCAAGGAAGTCTTGTGACGCAAACTGGCAAGATCCTTGCTGGTGGTAATTTTATTTTATCCCGTACCAAATGACTAGCACCCATGGAGCTGGGTGCTTTATGGCGGCTCATCTGCTGCTCTCTCTAATTCGTGAATCCCAGTTTAATTTGAGCACCATGAGTCTTGCAAGGATGTTGTTGACCAACCTGGTGCTTGTCTCCTTCAGACGAGACGGCAACGTCATGAACGGGTAGAGTTGAGCCAATACCAGGTGCCTGGGTCAGTGAGATCAGCTCAAACTGCATATGAGATTTGGCCGGCCGCCAGGCTTGCGTACTTGCTTCGGGCTATTTTTCGAATTCACCGCGAGTCAAGTCATTGCTACTTCATGAACCTTTAAAGACTCGTGAAAGTTGGCCCCGTACGAGACTCAAAACTCACTCGAAGCATGGGACGCGTCTCCATGAACCCTTCGTGGGACGTCGTACGCCTCCCTAACTAAAGACAAGCGGTGAATCAATTAGAAACTATCACAGACTTCATCATGGTCACTGATTAGTATTGCTATATGTAGATGCAAAAGGAATAAAGTGAAATGAAGGGCCCCACGCATGGAATTTCGTCAGAGATTATGGCTATTGCGACATATCATAGTACCCACATGTGCAATGTTGAGATTCCCTAAAGTCTGTAGATAGCATTGCGAGCTCCTCGTAGTAAGATAGCCAAGAATCAGATGATAGACTTAGTGTAGTCTGTGTTTAAGCGGCGTCTCGGTCTCGCTTATTGCGTAGGACCGCTCGAAGCACGTGTTTTAGGAAGCGCTAGGGGTTCTAGACATTTAGATTCCCTTTATTTGCCGCAGCCTTTCGGGTGATTGACTCGAACAATCCTAAACTACATGTAACACGGACTCCTCTATTCTGTTCGGGTACTATTCTAAGGTTCACACGATCAGACGGAAAGAGAGGGAAAGAAAGCTCAGACGAAGCTCGCGACCCAAACATCCATGGCAGCAACTCCCTTCTTACCCCCCGGCACACCGTCCAAACTCGCCTCGCAAGCATCACGCAGTGCAAAGACCACGGCGCGCTCCCGCTCATCTTTGATACGCTCCTCCACCTCACGCGCGAAACCGGATCCAAGACAGGCAGACACCTCCCACTGTCCGTCCTGAAGGCCCTCGCCGCACTGCACGCGGCTCTCTTTCTCCAGTTTCCAGCCGGCCGCGACTGCTAGTTCTGTGAGGCGCTTCGGGCCCAGAACCGTGCGGACGTTGGAGATGCTCTCTTCTCCTTTGCGGCACTCTAACGCTGCTTGAGCCAGGGCAGCTAGGACGTGAGGCCGGGCGGCTGCGTGCGTTGCTTCCAGGGACCATTCGGAGAGGAGAAGACGCTTGCTGTGCTGTCTGATGGCACGGAATGTTTCTAGGATGAGAGAGGGGGAGGAAAAGTACCATAGGCAGTGAGCCAGGACTGTCGCATCAAAGGTCTTGGCGACGCTGGATGAAGTGAGGGAGGAGAGATAGTCCTGAGGGCTTTGTTGGATCCAGTTGATACGTTTGCCAAGCGGGCCTTGTGAAATGTGATTCTGTGCTTGCTTGAGAGTGTACGGGGCACCTAAACGAGTAATTAGATGACTTGCCGGCCGAGGCTACTCACAGAAATCACGGAAGGCAGCAAGAACTCACCATAGTCCAACGAGGCCGGGTCAACGGCCACTACGGTTCCCTGCTCACCCACAACAGTGGCGAGAGCCGTTGTGCAATCACCCTGACCGCATCCTAGTTCCAAGATCTTGGAGCTTGCTGGAATGTCCCAGTGCTGTAGGAGAGCCAAGCGATGAGTGGTCTGGATGAGCTGGACGTCGAAGTGCTTGGGGTCGTGCAAGGAAACACGAGCAACAGCAGCGGCGTCAAGTTGAGTGGACATCTTGTTGAGCGTGTGAGTTGAGTGAGTTCCAGATGAGTGATCGATAAACACAACAAGGATTACTGTCCTGGGATCGGCCAAGGAGGGTAAAGTAATGAAATATCTGGTGGATTCTTATCTCTAGAAGCTATCGTTGGGGACAGTGGACTCTTGTACTAAACATGTAGGGTGAGACCTGGCCACTAGTGTTCAAGTTAGGTTCACCCCTCCAAGGATTCAGGAACAAAACATGCTGCCCGCACCAGCCACGGCCAATTCCGTTGTCAAATGTCTGTGCATATTCTGCCCCCAATCCGTTAGTCAGTCCCTCCTCCACTTCATTCTCTCTTCCTCACCAACTCAAACCCAAATCGCGGCAGCATGGTGTCCAGATGCATGAAGCTGACATGACACGCCACGCGCTGGCACTTCAACTCTACCACGAGATTTTCTGCCCCGCTAGGGCAGGCAAACTCCACCGTCGTGCTATTCGGTTTCATGGTGAGGTCCAGCACGCCGAGCAGCTCGCCACGCACAGGAAGAGCCGAGTACGACACGGTATCGTAGTTGAGCTCGTCCATGTTTGTGGAAGAGCCTGGCTGCGAGGTGGCGGAGGGCGCGATAAGCTGCCAGACTTCAATCTCGGAGACGTCTCCCTTGGTAGTCAGGTCCTTGATCCGCGTGGAATTTTCTGGAGGCGCCAGCCAGTTGATTGCGCAGGCGTTGATACCAGCGGTAGGAACCGGGAAGCGCATGATAGTTGAGTCCTTATTTTCACATCAGCTTTCTTGTTTTGAATGGAAACTGGTGAGAAGGAGAAAGTAAGAAACTGTGCGTACCTCGACAGTCACATAAACCTGTGGCCCATTTCCCCATACTGAATTCTTCAACTTGCGGCTCACTCGCACCACTCTGTCCGGCCAGGCACGGAGGTATTCTCTGGGAGGGCGAAGAATCTTGGCTGCTCTGTCCAGCCCTAACCTGGCGTCACCGTAGGGAAGGGCATTAAGTTCAGAGTCTGTATAAGGGAAAGCTGCGTAGTTGGACAGAGTAGCAGGAAGCAGGGCAATGTTGGCGCATGATATCAAGGCCAAAGCCAAGGAAATGTAGAGGATGAGCTTAGGAAGCTGCCAGTGCTTGGGTGCCTGGAGACCGTCAAGATTCTCTGAGGCTTCCAACAAGGGATGATCGTCATCATCCTCGGAAGACGAGCGCTTCTCGAGGGATGTACCCGAGCTAGAACCCTCGCCACCGCCTGGTCGGGATAGTGGTGTGTATTGCGAAGTGTCTGACTTTGATTTAGAAAACATCGTGAGAGGTTGTGCTAGAGGGCGAATGAGAGTAAGACAACGGACGATGAGGAAAATGGCGATAAACTTGGAAATTGTGGATGAAAAGAAGATCAGAAGTGATTCAGAGTAGGCTAGAGGTAGCCAGACAGTGACAGAAGACGAGTTCGAATAAGGCTGCAACACGCGGAACTACCGTGTGGCGCAGTCTAGTCATTGAGGACCACCTAGAAATAATGATGTAACGGGACTGCAACGCGTCTGTAGTTTCAAACTTTCACCAGAACTTGACTCAATCAGTACGGCGATAGTAATCTATCTGACATTCCGGGGTGACCGTGTCGGTGACTTTCAACAGTCTCAAGTCAGTTGGTAGCTGGAGTTGTCAAGTGTCTTGGCACCAGCTATATCATCTTGCTGTCTCTCTCTGCCGCGGATGGCCGCGTACAACGTGGAACCTATGCCGATCCAGCACTTGACATCCCATCTATCATGCCCAACGTTCCTACCGTCCTTACTTTTTGGCTTGCCCTTGGCACTGGCATTAACCTCACATCCGCCGCCGCCCCCGCCCACGCCGGTTTCCACGTTCAGTACCCTTGGTCGTCCCGCGGTGCCAACCTCCCGTCTCGGCCAGAGTTAGATGAGTTCCACCCGTTTTGCCGTAAGTTTCTCCTTCCAGTCTCCAATTCTTCAGACTCTCCAGTATTGGTGGTCTAACACACAGCCAAAGGGGAGATCGTGCACAATCCCCAAGCCTACGCCCGCAGCTCGCGCACGTTCCTTTCCTTCTCAGGCCATCCTGGGGACCTTGTCACGGCTCTTTACACTCGGAACAGAGTGCCGAAGAAGAGGGACGACTTCCCTCATGTCATTGTGCAAGACTTACCCATCCAGCCCTCTGGGCAGGTGTGCGTCAATGTTACAATACCATTTGAGACCAAACTCAACGAGATGGGAGTCATGTACTTTGAGGCCAAAGACCCGGCGACGGGCAAGGTGCAATACTTTGTGAGTCGCCCCTGCTGGAAGTTACTTGTAGTGAGATTGAGACTAATGTCACATGAATTGATAGTGCACCGATGTTAAAATGGCCGACACAGAGGCTCTCCCTGAAGAGCACCCGGCCATGTGTGCGGCTGGGAATGAGACGCTCATCCCAATGCCGGATGAATACCTGTAGATAGATAGAGCTCAAGATGCAATCATTTCTCGAAATTGCTGAGTCTAAATGTGGAATCTAACACCCCTGTCTTAGGTAGCTTAGAATGGTTCAGACCAATGCTCAGAGACGTCGCAACATCAGAAGGGACATGACTCGGTCTTAGGTCTGCTGTTTTAACAGGATGTCTGAGTCAACAACATGCTATTGATTTTTTTGTTCACAAACCTAACGTGATATTGTAGAAAACTCTCTATATCTGATTCTTCCGCATAAACCACATTGATAAGAGCGGAGGAACTGTTCTCTTTTTTTTTTCAAAAGAAAAAAGAAAATATAAAGGAAAAACAAAAAAGGGGGCCCACGTTCGATGTCGGAGGAAGTACAAACACCTCCAAGAATCACTACAGCGTTCCAAAATGTCATCATGTTGGCAAAAGCTATCAAGGCGGTGTCAGAACAAGGGCACCCGATAACTCGAGCAGTTGCCTCATACTCGTAAGCATTCGGGAAGATAGCGACCTCCATCGTGCTATGCAAGCTCTCCACAGATGAATTTAGTAAACCTTGAACGACCATATGACTACCAAGTTTCCAGGGGGCAGGGGGAAGGCTATCTGGCGGAGACCCGACTGGACAAAACAAACGTGCGTGCGGAATCGATTACTCACCCCCATGCGCCCAGACACCTTGATTTGCATGTTTTTAGTTTTGGTACACTTGCTTTGGTGTGACCAGCGCTAAAACAGTTGGGTCACAAGGATAAGCATCGAAGTTTATTGCATGGCTTGGAGAGTTCGTATGGGGATACGCTTAATTTAGGGACGCTTCTCAAGACAGAACGATGATATTGGAAAGAAAATTCTATTGTAATTCGAAGGACACATTTAACTAAACAAACCTAGCTACGCATTTGATCACTGGAAGTTCGCAAAAGTGCTGAGACACCCCACTACATCTCCCCTTCTCGCTAGCAAGCCATAGAATCCCTACCGCCCAAAACGATTTTGCCGCAAACCCGCTCCTGCAGTGACTTTTCCTGACTCGCTTCTACCGCTTTGGACTTAGGCGGAAGCCTCATCCTTGTCGACGGAGTAGACGTGACGCTTCTCGACCTCATCCTTGTCAACAGAGTAAACGTGACGCTTAGCGACGGGGGCCTCGTCGACGTCAGGAGAGTAGACGTGGCGCTTCTCAACTTCGTCCTTGTCGACAGAGTAAACGTGACGCTTGGCAACGGGAGCCTCATCAACGTCGGGAGAGTAGACGTGACGCTTAGCGACGGGGGCCTCGTCGACGTCAGGAGAGTAGACGTGGCGCTTCTCAACTTCGTCCTTGTCGACAGAGTAAACGTGACGCTTGGCAACGGGAGCCTCATCAACGTCGGGAGAGTAGACGTGACGCCTCTCGACCTCGTCCTTGTCGACAGAGTAGACGTGGCGCTTCTCAACCTCGTCCTTGTCAACGGAGTAGACGTGGCGCTTGGCAACGGGAGTCTCGTCCTTGTCAACAGAGTAAACGTGACGCTTGTTAAGAGTCTCGTCGACATCCGGGGAGTAGACGTGACGCTTCTCGACCTCGTCCTTATCGACGGAGTAAACATGCCGCTTGTTGAGGGTCTCGTCAACATCCGGGGAGTAGACATGACGCTTCTCCACCTCGTCCTTGTCAACAGAGTAGACATGGCGCTTGGCAACGGGGGCTTCGTCTACGTCAGGAGAGTAAACGTGACGCTTCTCGACGGTCTCGTCCTTGTCGACGGAGTAGACATGGCGCTTAGCGACGGGCGCCTCATCGACATCAGGAGAGTAGACGTGGCGCTTCTCGACGGTCTCGTCCTTGTCAACAGAGTAGACATGGCGCTTGGCAACGGGGGCTTCGTCTACGTCAGGAGAGTAAACGTGACGCTTCTCGACGGTCTCGTCCTTGTCGACGGAGTAGACATGGCGCTTAGCGACGGGCGCCTCATCGACATCAGGAGAGTAGACATGGCGTTTCTCGACAGTCTCGTCCTTGTCGACAGAGTAGACGTGGCGCTTCTCAACAGGAGCTTCGTCAACGTCGGGAGAGTAGACGTGACGCGCCGCCAGAGCAGCCTCAGCGCCAGGAATAGGCCCGGCCTGAACAGGAAGAACGTTCAGGCCGAGACTGGCAAGGCTGAGCATAACACTGGTGATCTGCATTTTGAAAGATTGGTTGAAAAACTGGTGGTTTGAAAGGAAAGGTGAGTTGAAGAAAATGTTGAGATGATTGTCAGATGAAAGCTGTGAAGTGAGATGTTGTTGTGGATGCTTTTTCTCTCGATGGTCGATATTTCCTTGGGTATTTATGGATTTAGAGCTCCAAGTGATGAAGCTCATGGGGGGGGATATTCGTTCGACAATCTCTCCGTACGACTACGAATCCCCACGATCAGGAGCGTGCATGTGCGTTGTTGCGCCGGCGTTGCCTTCGCGATAATTCTCAAGTCGTGGGTCTTCAGACGTTCGTGCCGAGTCTGTAACATGCCTCGTAAAGTTTCCCAGGTGGATTCCACGATGAGGTTCCAGACAAAGATCGTGACTAGCTATCGCGTTCGGTATACGAGGCTGGTGGAGATCTCTAACAGCAGGGCCGGGGGCGTTTAGATGGCACGCCGGCATGATACGCCGTCGGAAGAAGTCATGATGTCCTGATGTCCGTTCCGCCGGGCAAGCCTCATCCAAGCCTCCGTCAGCTCGACCGGTCAAGCCCCAAGGTCCATGGTAGGCAAACAAATTGACCTGCGGGCGTCCATGATTCATCTGGCTATCGAAACTTTACTTTCGTCGCATATCGAGCCGTCACATCATTTCGTGTGGAGCACGCAACCTGTTCCATACCTGCGGTCCCTTCCTTCCGCTACTGGGATCCGGATTCCCGAGGTTCATCTAGATGGAGAAACTTTCTTTCATCGCAAGTTCAGCGAGCAGATCTGGTGGAACCTCAAACAGTCCTGCGGTGCTTTTCGTCGTCAACATAGCAACGGAGATTCCGAAGTTCATCTAGATGTTCATCTAGACGATGAAACTTACTGTCGTCGTATATCGCGCAGCTTTTGTGGGACCGGAGGTCGTCATGCGGTCCCTGTCAACATACTTGGGGCTCTCCACATGGTCGATGCAACCCTTGGAAGACTGACTCTCATCAGTAGATCTTTTTGACACTTGCGAAGTTGCGAATCCTCTTGCACCGCCCCATGGTATCATCGCGACTCGTCTACTCAAGCGTAGGCGGATACGGCCACAGATCTGTTAAACACTGCTCGCCCACTCCCGGCGCTGCTGATCCAAGCGATTGTGTTCTTTCTTTGCCAATCTCAACGCACTACCCTGCCAGCACGCCATCATGTCTTTGAAGTCTTTGAAGTCTCAATTACGAGGCCCCTCACTCGGTCTTTTCGCGGCCCTCTGCGTATGCCTCGTCTTGAACTTGGGCGCTCTCTTCTTCTCCTTCCGCGTCTTGACCCGTGGTACACAGTCGTACAGTACGTCAAATCCTCGTCTTTTGTTTTCTTATTTACGTATGTTACTAACAAATAATAGCCTACCTCGAAGGAGACCGACCACATGAGCTTCCTATTAAGGTCCGCACCATTCAGGCTGAATTCGTAGATGACCCTGAGCACTACGGAATGGAAGGCTTCGCATCTACGGTTGAATGGAACGCAATCCGTCCCCCTGGAAAGGGGTTCGTCTTTCTAGGCCAAGAGCACTTTGCGTTTGGCGTGTCGATGTGGCATCAGATGCACTGCTTGAGCCACATTCGTGCCGTGCTTGTCAACGGAGACGACGGATCTGACCACACGGAGCACTGCTTCCACTACTTGAGGCAGGGTATCCTCTGCGCTGCTGACACAACAATCGAACCTGGTGGCACAAACAAGAAGCTTCCTAATGGCGACAAAGTTGCTGCAGGCGATGGAGCTAAACACACCTGCCGGGACTGGAGACAGGTGCACGATTGGATGGCGGAGCAACACTCGAAATGGACGCCTGAAATGTTTGAGAGGATCAATGAGTCTAGTCTATAGATATTTTGCTTTGAATGAAAAATTCATGCATATTCATAGAAATCTTCCAATTTTTCCACATCTTTCACTTCAGTAACTCATCTCGTCTGCACATATGTTCTGCTTCATTCTCTGCATGCGCTTCGTGTAAGTGAGCGTGCACGGACTTAAGCAGAGCTGAACTCCAAGGGAGAAGCATAGCAAACGGAAACAAGGTATCACCGATTCGGATTGAACTCCTCGAGATGACAAGATGCGTTAATATTCTACTTTAGCCTGAAGACCGTCACTCATCATCTACATACTGATAACATAGTGGGCCAGCCTCCGTGTCAAAAACCTGCCTTGGTGTCACGGGCACACTCTGTACATCAAATGGCATCTCGTAATCTGCGCTTGCTTTGACATCATATTGCGGGTCGCTCATGTTGAACGAGTGAAAGGGTATGCCGGAGAAAGCTGCAAAATTGGCGGGGTGTCGTTGTTGCCACTACAGAAGTCATCAACGCACGTTAGGATATCTGATGTGACACTTAAATCAACTAAGGTTTGGGAGGGGTGCGCACCTTGCTCCATAAACGGTCAAGCTGCGCATGATGCAACCAAAAGAGAGGGTCATTAGGCGTGAAGGCGACGGCCAGGTCCTTGCAATCGTCCGCTGGCAATTTCTTTGGGCAGTCCCCCGCCAAGTCCCCACCAACAAAGTTATGGACGTGATTATGCATCTGCTCCATTGAGTGCTGGAAACTGTAAAAGTCGCCCGTATGATGTTCAGTCGAGTTCCGCACAGAGTTTGGGCCAAGTGTAGAGTTCTGGGGCTTCTCGTGATCGAACCAGCCAGTGATAAGGGTCAAGTTCCTCCGCAGTGGGTGCGGGATCGGCCAGGCGAGCTCGAACTGCGCGAAAGCGCCTGTGGTGACCATGCAATCGGCCTCGGGGGAAGAATCACAGTCTCCGGTCCCGCCTAGCCCAAACTCTAGTGAATCTTCAAATACGGAAGAGCCGACCAGGTCCGCGTGATCGCGCGACCAGTCCCAATATGGCGTTGGACCACTGTACCCGCAGTTTCGGCGGAGAGACGCGTCGAATAGGTAGAGAAACCAGCGGTCTGCACTCGTGTAAGTATCGAGGTGTTTGGCAAAAGAAGAAGGGGGGGGGGGACGTACGCCACGGCAAAAAATAGACATTCCTATGTGCGCTGTGCTCTACTGCTGCGTGCGAGTACGAGAAGTCATCATATAGACTTCTCATCCCCTCGAGGACTTTTTGTTCTGGCGTGAGTGATAACCGTTGGTGCCGTATGCTTCCGAGGCATTTCACAGCTCCTACCCAGTCAGATTTCTCGTCCTGCGTCAGTGTTCGCCATTCTTTGCGTTTGGAGAGCTTTCCGCATTTTGTTGCTTGTCCATGGCAGGGGAGGACCGAGAAAATGGCAAGTACAAAGAGAAACGAAATCGTTCGACTCATGGCTCTAACATGAATGTGTATTCAACTTTCTAAAGAAAGGACAAGGCACAGTCACACAGAATGGATGGTAGTTACGGAGTTAAATAAGCAGTTTTGCTCTGTCGTTTAGCTTTCGTCCCACTTTAGCGCTGTTTCGGCCAATGAGAGAGAATATTTCAGAGACTTGAACTGTCATCCCGCCGGCCGGCTCTTAGTTCTATCTCGATTGGTATTCTAAATTGCACGCCGTGGCAAGACGAATATCCCACGATTTCATTTCTCATGACATTCAAATTCACTGATATCATCACAGGATGTCATGATCCCAATTGCAAAGGTCTCTCAGTTTTAGAGTAAGTTATGCTGGCCGCGGTGCCAGAGTTTCGGTTCGGCAGAGAGCCTGACGTGGCCTGTCATCCAAGACACTTCCAATTTCAGGCAGCTTTCCGCAACCTTCGACTCGTCGGTAGGCCGCGGTAAGGCTGATTGTGTAAAAGGGATACATCCTGTCTCACTAGCCGAAGGTTACTTCAACTTAAAGTGGGACACACGCCCCCCCTGGTAGAACTTTAAGCGTGAACAGAGATGATCCTAGTTGCTATTCGTGGGACCGTGAATCGTGGTAATCCACTATTTTCGATTCAGACAATGCTCAGACAGTAGCCTCCATCGCTTGGGGCCGGACGGCGGGCGTAGCCATTGCGTTCTGATACCCGCGGCGACTTCTGATATTCGAGGCTTGTTGTAAAGTATCTGGCCCTTGGGAGGAATAGCATCTGGCGGAGAGGTTCAAGGGTAGGGACTTTCCCACTTATCATGCCATTCATCCACTCCTCAGGCTCACTCTGCTCCCATCACAGCTGCATTTAGCACGAAGAATCACCTCTCCTGGCACAAATCCATACCCAAGCCACAATCACAATGATGTACTCGTCAATAGTCCCTTCTCGCTCTCTCGCTCTCTTTCTCTGTATCATATTTCCCTTCTACCTCGCTCTTCGCGGGTCTGGCTCATTGTCTGATGTCGCACTTTTCCTCTCGAAGCTCTCCTTACGTGCTGAAGCCCTACACGTTGCGCTCAACGCACCCCTAGACATTCCTCCCCCATCCATTTCCAAAGCACCAGTTGGAACTTCCACGAGGCCCGCCAAGGTTGTACGCGCAACTGAAGGAGGAAAGAAGCTTCCCGAAGATTTGGTACACGCCATCAACTCCTTCGAGCAGTATGCGTCTCTTGCCCAGGGAGTCTTGCAGCGGAAGTATGCGCGGTACGACCGCCAGACGCCTGCACAGAAGTTGATGAGCGACAAGCTAGGGTATCCTGAGCACTTTGAGAAGGCCACGGAAGGGATTAATGCAAATGCTCGTCTCTCGAAGCAGATTGCGCAAATATCGAGAAAGCATTACCAAACCGGCCCAGGAGCGTTGACAGACGAAGATGATGCCGATTTTGGTCTTGTGGACCTGACCTTTGGACATCTTTCGCGAGACTGGAGCTCGTTTGGCGCCAAGGAGAGGGAGGCTACTTTCCCGCCTGTTATTGCTGGGCTTGAGAAGCATTTTGGTGAGCATGGTAAGGACAAGAAGGTTCTTGTTCCCGGGTGCGGTATGGGCAGGCTGGCAAGCGACATTGCTGACCTCGGTGTGTATCTCTTCCTTCGCTGACTCCTAGGCATGATCTCAAGTGTTAACATATGGACGCAGGGTATGATGTGACAGCCAACGATCTAGACTTCAGCTCGATCTTGGCTCACCACCTTCTTACAAACCACACAACGTCACTGCATGAACATACTATTCATCCCTTTGTGACCAAATGGACCCATCAGTCCAACCCCTCCTCACGCTACACAGCCCTGACGGTGCCGGATCACATGCCAAACAAGGCTGTCAAATTCGTCGAGGGTGACTTCTTGGAGATGTTCCCCGAGGACGGCCAATTCGACGCCGTTGTCTCATTGTTCTTCATTGATATTGGCAGCAACATCATTGATTTTCTGGGCAACATCCACCGGCTGCTGAAGCCTGGTGGTACTTGGGTTAACCTTGGACGTAAGTCATCACTATTGTCCCACGAACCTCTCTTCCTTGAGTCTTGAGGCTTCTCGTTTTCTTGACATCCAACCGGCGAACTCAAATTGACATGTGACGACGTAGCACTAAAATACGGGACCCACACCGCCCTGCAGCTCTCCGCTGAGGAGGTGCTTCATCTGGCGGATCTGATTGGATTCGATGTTGACCTTTCATCGCGGAAGAACATCGACAGCCTATACGCTCAACAGCCAGAATCCTTGCTCAAGTTCACTTATGGTAAGTACCCGTTATTCTTGATGGGGGATGAGAACGATTTCTAATGGGGAAAATAGTAACACAATATTGGACGGCCACGAAGAGATTTTGAAACGGCGTTTTGTGGCTTCTAGGTTCAGTGCTAGATACAATATCGCGGACAACATATCATGGCATCTTATCATAGAGGACAGCTGGCCTGCAGATGTCTTAAAAACCTTTTGCAAGGGAAGGTGATGAAAGCTGTTTATTTTAGTTAGCTAGAGAGAAAAAAAAATAGACATGAAGGAATAAATCATTCTGAACCTTACAATTTGCCGCATCAATAGATTTGACATGTAGACAGCCATTTATTTGTTTGATCGTCCGTTGTCTTTATTGTTAGGGTTATGGCTCTCTAGCATCTTGACAATTTACATCCGCCTTCCCCCCCAAATGCTTTTCGTCAATAGCCTTGTACAGTTCCATCAAAACCAATGTCGCCTAGGCTAGCAGCTTGAATTCATTACAGGACCTCAGGCCCTTGAACATTCCGTAGCAGCCTTTCTCATGGGAGAAACATTGACAAGGAGATACTTTTCACCTTCTGTTGCCGTTTAGGTCTTGTTAATCGACTATCCATATGCTGCTGGAATTTAAGGCTATATAATATATATGTACGTGCCGAGATCATCTACCTTCTTCAGCACTCAATGGGGTAGTTATCAAGACCAATGTCTGAATTAGGGTGTGGTAATGACTTGGTAAACGTCACAAAGGCCATCATGACAGCACAGTATTTATTTCAGGGACTGTCGAATCCCGCGTCATATCTAGACAATGTGATCTCTTGCTCTGTCCGTAGAAGTTTTACGAGCTCCGAAGACCACTTTCAAGACTGCAATGTCATTGACCAGTTGTTAGTACCTAAGACCATGCGGTGGCTATCGGGACTCTTTTCGGCAAGCATGGCGTTCAAGAAGTACTGCTACGAAGTTAACGAAGCCAGTTTGCACAACCGTATTTGAATCTGACTCCTCATGTTTTACTCACCTCATTGGTTCACAAGCAAGTCATACGTTATTGGATCAACTTCTGTTCTGTGCGAACACCAGCGCGTCACACAACGCAACTTCAATAACTGACTCAACAATTATAACAATCAAATCCCACAAACCTGCCCCTACTAAATTCAATACCGAGACTAAAGCCATATAGTGAGTTATATAGATTTATTTCCAACGTATCCTTATTTGTTTTAATGTTCTGCCTTTGCTGGCTGCTCGGGCGATTCTCGATATTCTTTACACAGTATCAATACGCGGTATCAGTGGACAACGTATCCTTATATCAGCCAGAAAAGCGGCTTTCTCTACTTTTTTCTTTGACGACAAAGAATAGATCTATTGGGGGGAAAGTCGTTCCTACGGCGCCAATTTTGCCATGGAGTTGCCACCTAAATAGACAGGCCAACTAAATTGACCCTCAATCAACTCAACTATAGCCTCAAATTTGCGTTAATCGAAGCGCTGGCACTGGCGGACACCAACGGCGACTGTGGTGTCAACCTACCGAGGCACCCGACTAGGTCCTACAGAATCTTTACGGGGAGGAAAGTACGAGAGAGGAAGTCCCTCTCCTATACATGTGCCTTGGTGATTCTTCGATAACAGAGCGAGATGTAGGATGGGCCTCTAGGTTGTCAGATATCAGCCTTGGTCGGTGTATCCCTCTGAACACCCTCAATCTTTCCCATAGGATTCTGATGAAACTTGTTGAGATTTGTATCACCAGCTGGGAGTATACATATCACTGTATCGCAGCTGAAAACAGATTTTCTATAGCAAACTGCGCATGGCGTCGTCTGTACCAGTGGGATGCCAATGAATGAGATAGGAAGGGCGTATGGGTATCAACTGGGTGGATAGTGCCCGGCAGCCCAATGGAGTTGGGATCATCAACCGCATGTCACGGTTACATTGACGCAAAACGGTAGGATGGAGAAACAGGTCTCCACAAGATTAGATGACATGTCTATGAGATGAGATGAACAGACTTGTGAGATATGAGTGAGCCGGTGGGCTGTCAAGGACTCCAGTCATCAAGTGACGTTACACAGCCACAGCTCCTTGGGGGATGTAGCGCCACCTGCGCCACTGCGCTAACCACATTGTCGCTGCCTGGCGCGCACGTCCATTCCTAAGTGCTTACGGACTGTGCCGCAATTCACGACATGCTTAAACACGGGCGATTTCCCAATCTCATAAGCCATATATCTTTTTTTTCTCTCTAAGCCCGTCAATCTGTCCAGCCTTTTGCGGATACAGATTCGTATTGGAGCAGTCATGCCTCCCACGGAGAGGAAGAACAATCTCGATCTCTCGATACAGCTCCTTCACCCAGACACCCCCCTCCACGGAGGCAGCGTCATCCTCGGCCACATCGTCCGCAAATCACACATCGTCGCCGCCAACGCCACAGTCCGCGTCCGCCTCCTTGGCCGCGCGAAGGCAAAACTCGTCATCTCCCGCGGCAACAACCAAAAGAGCTACTACCGCTCCCGTTTCAATTTCTGGTCCGAGAACGCTGTCGCCGATGTAGTCCACCGCGGACCTATCCACGTCGCACCCGGAGCCGGAGGCGAACCTGTATCCTGGCCTTTTGCACTCGCACTGCCGACGCATACGGATGCTAGGGCCGTGAATGACTGTGGCGGGGAGAGTGCCAAGGAGGCGTGCTTCTTGCGCCCCAACGTCGGAGGTCATGCCGGACTAGGGCTGCCCGAGCAACCGCTGCCTGGAACATTCCATTTCGACGGGTCCGGATTCAACAAAAGTTGGCATGGCTTCGTCGAGTACTGGATCGAGGCTGAGCTGACGGTGCACGGGAAGAGCACCGTCGTGAAGGCGGCGATGCCTGTCCGGGTATTTTCGCCTCCCGTACCATCGCCGATGATCAGCGACTTTAGGCTGGAGAGACGGAATAAAGCTGGATGTGTGAGCAGTCAGAGGCTGCTACCAGGCATGACGGACGCGGAGCTGTCGTTCAAGCAAAAAACGCAAAAGTTCTTTGGCTCCTCCAAAGTTCCCACCTTCCACTATACTCTCGATGTGCAGTATCCTACGGTGATTCAGCTGGGAAACGAGTCAACCATCCCTTTCCTGCTTCATTTGACACCATCCAAGGATCGTACATCGGATGTTATCGCGGACGTACCGCAGACGGTAACGATAGAGCAGATGGAGCTGGAGCTGCAGACGACGACGGGCATCATTTGCCCCGGAACACTCGATCCCCACGACGCAAGCAAGACGCGGAAACTCTGCTTGGCGCGGCTGAAACATCTTTTCCAGGCCTCAGATAACATCATTGTCGTTCCCTCGGGCCCGAAGGAAGTTCCACTGGACCTTGGTGCTGTTTTGGATCTACGAGTCGACGCGCTGGGACGACTGCTCCTCGGACAGAGAAACGGTGCAGGTTCGTTTGGGCAGATTGTCGTTCCCACCTTCGTGACGTATTGCGTAAAAATTGAGCATGTGTTGCACTGGGAGGTGAAGCTGTCGGTGGCGGGCGAGAGCTGGAAGTGTGAGGGAAGTCAAAAGTTGCTTGTCCTGGCACCAGATGAGGATACGGCAAGTGGTAGGACGAGGGCATCTGCGGTTGCTTCTTCATCGAGTGCGCCGCCACCGCCTGTTGAAGAGGTCCCTGTTTATGATGGGCCTAGCGAGGCGGCCCCAGCATATGAAAAAGTCGTGGGCGGCGGGGAAGAAGCGCCGGTCATCAGGGGAAAGTCATGAATTCGGGACAAGACTCAGAAGAGGGAGAGGCTAGAAGGAGTTCATGGTTGAGGATCGGGGGGGCTGAAATACATGATACCCATGCAAGAGCGGATTCAGCTGGAATAGGGTAGTCTGGGTAGTTGAGACTACACAGACTAAGTAGTAATAGCAGTGCTGGATCCAACGCTGTAAACTTGAAGAATATGTGATATCTTGCTACCGGGCATCTGAAAAAAGACTAATGATGACCTCGAGCCGTGCAACAACGATACTGATTGCGAATGATTCTCAACAGTGATAAAGCAGTGGCGAGAGCGTAAGCGACTTGAGGTGTGATCGGTGTCACACTCGTACGCGTTGAAATAATGGTGAAGCTGGGATGGCCAGCCGGGAGGAGAGGATCTGGTACTATTGTTCAATGGCTCTTTGGTATCCTCACGCCTGGAAAACTCGTGCCTCGAGTGCTATACGCGTCCGCTGTCAGTAAAGTCCTCCTCAAGGCTTGGCTTAAAAAAAGAAAAACCCCCCCCCAATCGACTCACATCGCTTCTTTGCAGGTCTACAGCTTGAGCACACAGCCCGGTAACATCCGTCGATAATATACCGTTCGGCACCGGGGTTAGTATCAGAGCACCAATTCAAACATGCTCCAAAGTCGGTCCCAAACGTGCCGCACTCTCCGGCCGTGACCGGTACGACAACAATAGCAGCGAAAAAAGATGCGGCGAGTACGAACTTCATTGTAGCTAGATTCAATAGTGTGAAGTTAAAAAACAAGCTTAATGGAAAGTACCGAATTCTGGCAGAAAATACTGAAGACGAAAGTTTCTGGGCGAGAAGGTTTGATTGACTGGGGAAAAGAGAAAGTATGTCTCTCTTTTGTAAAGATCTGCATCGACATTGCGTGGCTCTTATTCCCCAGTCGGCATCATTCGTGTTCATTCTTAAACGCCCCGACATTTGCAACTCGGGCGGATGTAGCACACGCGTGGAGTTTCATCCCGGAATAGAACCGGAGCAGGCCGATCATTTGGAAACGACCCAGTATCGCAGTCACAGATCTGCAGTGCCCGTTGCCAGCTTAGATGAACGGCGCGCCAAGTGCTACTTGATGTATCATGTGCATAGCGGCTGTATCAATATACGCGGACAGTTAGCGAGCGCCGTGGGCACACGAATCACTGCCTTGTGGAAACTCCTTCCTTTGTGTTAGGTTTTAGGGGCCGAGCTCCAGTTTGGTGGCCCGGTAGGCTGGTTAGACTGAACTTTAACGCTGAGTTGACATGGGAGTCCGGATTTTGTAACGAGTTCGAGTCAGGTTCTGGAGCAAGCCAGCACGCCGCACGATGAGGAAGGCCTCACCGTGACCAGGATCTCTGTCCGAGAAATCCGTCACAAATTAACAGAATCTTCTTCACATTTCATGATTGGCTGGTACATCGAGAGAAAGAAGCGACATTAATATGATCAGCATTCGTCTCAATTGCTCAGGGCTCGAGTATTTCGGATTCTCTTCATGACTGGTGCACCCGTAGCAACATGAAACTTCACTGACTTCCTGAGGCCTTAATCTAAGGTCTTTCATGGGCTATGCATTTCGAACAAGTATATCAAGCCAGGTTTGCATGCCGAAAGTTAGAAGCCCGGATAATTGTTTCATTTGGGGGAGGCTATGGGGTTTAGGATTCAGCTGAGCAGACTCCTGGCAACACGCGCAAGCCACATGCATTTCAAAAATCCATGTCCACAATGATCAAGCCCGATAAATTTGTTCACAATCTAGAAGATGATATTTATATGAACAGTCAAGACCGATTGGTAAATTCTTCCGTATGGAACTCAACTTGCTCAATAAGATGTAAGGTACCCAACATTGGCAGCAAATTCAAGCCTTTCCGATATTAATGCTCACCGTGTCCGCAAACCCTCCCTCCGGAGCATTCACAGTCCAGACTCTGCCTTCAGACATGATGTAGTTGGTCAGGTACTTGATGCCAGCGCTGAAGATGCTGACCGCCTTCCTATCGTTGTTGTTGGTCAAGACAATGCCCTTGCAAGTGTAGGTCCACACGTTGCGACCACCCTGGCGGACCCAGCCTCCGACCATATGAAAGGAAACAGTGACACCCATGAGTAAGATTGACTTAGCAGAAGCAACTCCATGAGGAATCGGAATGCCGTCAATGCGCTTTTCGAGGGCCATGGAGGAAGCGACCTCGTCATTGGATCTGGCGACGCTGTGAGGATGTTAGACGCTCAATTTGCAAGCAGAATCACTTGGCTTACTTGATGGTTTCGGGAGCTTGGATCCCAGAGCCGATGAGCTGGAGGGAACCTTTAGCACTCTCATGCGCAGCAGGGTCATGCTCGACGGGAGGGACAGCCAGTGCCGAGACGGCAGTAGCAAGACTTAATGCTGCAAGGAACTTCATGGTTGTAATCTAAGCAAAGGAATGTGAAGCTCAAATGGCAAGTGATGCAGGTAAGTTGTGGGATACAAAGGTCACAGGCGGGGTGTTCCAGAGACTTATACCATCGGGGAGGGTGAAGCAGTGCAAGGTCAAGGACTAAATGACTGGAACCTGCCAGATGGGCCATGGCAACTGCGAATCTCTTCGGCGTCTCATTCGCATTGTGTGGAAAGCAACCGGACATCAATAATACAAGCTTTCAATAGGGGAAAACCAATCCGCCCGATAATAAAATTTAGTAGAGTGGTAAGTGTGGTTTAGTAACCTCCATGTCGATCAATTTGTCTAGCCAACAAATCCGAGATGACCGGACCGGAGACTTTCGCGATACACCAGAGGCTGAACAAGGCTTGCATTGATCGGTATTGAGCCGTGACTATTCGAACTTGATAGTATTTTCTATTTTCCTTGCCTTTGTCACGAGTGTTCACCTTGAATGAAGTCCGTTAAGGTTAGGCGTAATGAAGAGCCAACTTTTCACGTGAGTCGCGTGAGGTGCTCAATCACACTTGCCTAGAATGATTAGTTGCAAAGTTGAATCATGGAGATTCCAATTGCCCCGCCATTGCTAAGCAGGACCAAAAGATACGAACAGCTATCGACACAAATGACTTTCAGGATTTGGTGCCAGACAGCAAAGACATTCTCGGGCATCGTGTAAGGAGTAAACAATATCTTTTACTTCTCCTTTCAAGGCTACTCAGGCCATTTCAAAAACTTCGCGAAGCAAATGGAAATTATTGGTTATGTGTGCCTGATGATTACGAATCAAGATAATATAGGTACTAAGGTGCGAACAGCATCGCAATCCAGTTCCAAAACGGCCAGATATTTTATGTCTGAACAAATCCCTCCAACCCCCAATTGAGTCAGAAACTCATAGAGCTAAAGAATTCCCATGGAAAGCTCTATCGCTTGCAGAATCCGTGACCAGACTTTCCAGTAATCTTGGACTGGGTAGAGTCAATGACATCGTTGGCCACAGGGTAGTATCCATCACGAGCCTGCGCCTCGCAGACGCGGTTCCAGTCATCACCGTCGACACGCTTGTGGGAGAACCACTTGCACTTTAGTCGCGAAATGTTAGCATTGTATCTAAATGTTGTCACAGGGCTGAATAGCCTTACCCTGCCTTGACCGTGGTTGTAGTTGGCCTGTGATCGTGTTAGTAAATAGTAGCCTCCGCCTTGGAACTTCGATTTCCGAATAGATGCGTACCTCGCCCTCGTAGTTGTTCTTGCAGGCATTAAAAGTGAGCTGCCAGTCGTAGGTCCAGCCTCGGCCGTTCCAAGTGCTGCAGGAACACTCGTAGTGAGGGTCCGCGGCGACGCCAGGGGCGAAGAAAGCGCCGATAGCGGCGAAGAGAATGGTAGAGGCAGAGAACTTCATCTTGCTGATTTGAATCAGAATGATTAGATGTAATAGAGGTGGTAGATAGCTGTCAAAGAAGAAGTGATGACGACGATGATGATGACGAGTGTGGTGATGAAGTGATGGCAGAAGAACGCCGAACGGTTGACTCTTTATGTTCTTCAAAACAATCATCTCGCACGCGAACTATGTTGTTCTTTCCTCGCCATACAAAACAACTTAGAATTATTGGGGAACATGAGACTTGACTCATCCCGGCTCGATAATCACAGGTGGTAACTCACGAACTCGCCGGCCGCGAGGGTGTCGACAATCTCCAATCATGGTCTCATCACCATCATCCATGTACAGAAATAGTACGACATCCAGAACACGAGACACCGTTCTTTATTTTAGTTCACTAGTTTGGTCAAGATGATGGGAAAACTTTGATGATTTGCCTTGTCCCAATGTTAACTAAAATAGAGCGTCAAGACTTAAGTCTTGGAATTGTGAACTTCCGGTCTCATCTCGAAGCGCTGATCTATACCCGGACATCCGGACAGGGTAGTACCATAAGGGATTTGATCTGGGGGGCATAGGGTTGGGTACCGGGTTCAGTTGATCGCGACTGTCCAGCATGCTATGCCCATCATCTTACCTTAGCTGTGATCCAAAGCCGTATGAGTGCTTTGCCTGAGCTCAAGATTGCCACATGTAGCCCCACAGACACGGAGATTAATGAAGTCCTGTTCAAGTCTGTTCGCATTTCCCAACTCCTAATTGTGTATAGAAAACGTGGAGAGGATCACTGCACGTATGCTAATTATCAAGAAACTATCTTCCCACGCGGTTTCGTAGCACCCGTTGTCAACGTACCGCACTTTACCACAGCTTTGGCAATTTCTATCAGAGAATCTGGTAATAGCCATCTGCAAACAAAGTACGTCGTTCCCATAAGTGACTATTGTAAAGGGGTCGGCAATTCCGTGTTGCGGTTACCTTGACATGGAGAGATCGACAGTGGAGAAATGGATCTAGGGCGCTCGCGTCTCTGAAGACAGGATGAGTAATACGACTAGCCGCTTCTCTGGTAGAGCTTCTCTGGGAGATGTGTTCCAGATTGTCGGTACGAAGACTCGTGGTATTGATACGCGGCCTTGGCGTGCCTGGCCCAGCAACGCCACAAGTTAAGCTTTCGAGACGATGGAGTCAATCAAACTAGACTCCCAATCTAGAAAAAACTGCCCGCATACGAAAATTTTTCCGGCATGCCACATGGAACATGTGCCTGACCGCCTTTGACCACCACTCCCACTTCGCGAATCGCGACTCGCAACTTCAATTGTAAGTTGACATGATCAACTTGACGGGGGTGAAGCCCTCGACTGACATGGGATGCATATTTATTGAACTCTATTATCTTTTTCTCGGAGAAATGGACAATGAGGCCTTCATTCTGCAAGTATTTTCCTCCGGGATGTCTTGTAAGTTGGGGAAGAGTAGAGCAAATTGTGAGAAGTCCCATGCTCCAACCTTTCATAATCTACATCTCTGACTAGCTGGAGATTTAGACTCTTTTTGGTCATAATGATATGAGTATCTTCAATTCTTTGTCGTTTTTGTTTGCATGAAACCAAATGGCCCTCACTCTTTGTGTTGACTGTTGTTGAAGGCTCTGGTTTCTGGTCCAACTAATTTCACCTCCCAGCCGACTTCGCCCATTGATTGATAATTGAGACATAGTGCGAAGGCTGACATCTGGGATGAATACCAAGAATGTGAACCCGCAGCCGTTCTTCAGTGTTTTGATTTAAATTGCGTATCATTGTTGACCATTGTCCGTTTGCTAAACTCTTGAACACCACCCGTTACCTTCGTTGACGTTTTGCTTCAGCATTGATGTTCAAGAGCACAACGGAAGTATTCCGCCAGGCTTGAATCTTTATGTAAGCAATGCCAATAACCACCTCTAACCAAGAATGCGGAGTCAAACGAGCAGACGTATCAACCAATCACATCAACGTAATGAGGTACCAGCAGCCAGTTGCTTCTGTTTCACCTCAAACGGAGACAGCTAAGAAAGAACTTACGATACACTTGATAGTGAAATCTACTGCTTCAACTTACGAATGAGTCTCTCGTGGCGTGGAGAATAGCATTGCATGTAACTAAGTTCTCTTCGTTCAATATCAGTCTAAATTCATCGCTAACGATTTTCCGCACAACCAAGTAAACAAATTGAGCATCTAGCCTCTCACCATGAACGAGTCTACATCAGACACACCGTCCGCTACTTCAGACCATCAGCCGACAATCCCAACCGTGAAGGCGCCTACAACTACTGTTGAGGTCTAGGATGCTATCACAATCGACGAAGATGGTGACCTGGAGATTCTAGTCAGCGCAGGCGATGCCACGCAGTCTTTCATCGTCTGCGCTAAGGCTCTTGCCAGGCACTCTCCAGTATTCAAGAGAATGCTATTCGGTGGATTCAAGAAATCTAAGCCCTCCAAGAGCGATAGTGACGATTGGGTGGTGGAGCTTCCTGGCGATGAGACGAAGCCTTTCGAGATTCTTCTTGATATCATCCATGGATTGTTCGAGCAGGTTCCCGAGCTTCTCACTCTCGACGAGCTGACAGCACTTCTCGTCTTAACGGACAAATACGATGTCACCTCTCTAACACGTCCCTGGGTTGCTGGATAAATGGAAGGAGTCAGAGGCGAAACCCAGCACCTCAATTTGCTCCGTGCCGCTTGGGAGCTTGGCAAAGAAGACGTGTTCAGCAAAATGGTGACGAAAGTAGCAAATGAGTCGGTTCGCTTATCTGACTGGAGTGAGGCGTTGCAATATGGGGGCAATTATCTTGATGAGGTGACAACTATGGAGCCACCCGGGCTGCTTGGTATGTCTAGACTCTTCAAGATGGGGGACTACTCTGACATCATAACGAATAGAGATCATCCGGAAGCATCGTGAGGCTGGAGCGGCCATAGAGCTTAGTCCCTACGTGGAGCTCTGCGCTAAGCTGACCACGTCCACTGGAAACGAGTTCTGGTGTACCTCGAGTGCGCAGTTGATGTCGCGTCAGAAATGCGACAGTCTGCTCCTTGGAACCTTGGTCATGGGCCTCCTGAAGAAGGGACTTCCCATCACGGCAGAGCAGCCTGCGGAACAATATCTTGGCAGCTTGTCACTCTTAAGAGCTGCTCTCAGCGACCTACAGCTCTTTGTAAGTCATGAAGTGATTAAGGATGCACTCAACTGGAATGAAAAGCTGAGCTGGTCGATTGGATAGAGCAGAGACTCGGCCCGGCAACAAGGCTGAACGAGGAAGCTGTTCTGGTACAGCATAGTCACAAGATTCGTCTCCTCAAGCAGGCGCGAAAGACTGGGGTAGATAGAATTCTCGTGTTTATGAAGCCGACAGAAGCGCAAGGTCCTCAGACAAAGGCATTAAAGACCAATCGTATGGTGCTTGTATCCAACAAGAACACAACGTAGTGATCTTGCTAATAGCTTGGAAATCTACAAGCACCATTGCGAAATTAATTGGACCTTTGCAAGCCAAGGGTTTGGGCGTCGCTCAGATTTCACCTTCTCTTCGTCCTGATTCGTGATGCCCATACCTGAAGTAAGTATCTGCTCATTACCCAGAGCGTATCAAGGTTACCTGAAGTAACAAAACTTGACCTCGGAAAACCTTCTGCCGGTGTCTCTTCTTTGTATGATGTGGACCCTCTCCGATCCATGTACCCAGTGCGATCTCAAAAGAGCCTCTTCTCATTTATGACAAGGCTCTGAGCCCAGAAAGCAGCCCCACCTTGCAAGTGGTATCATTTGTATTTGTCCAGTTACATCATGTCACTTTCCCGCCGGTTGCCAACCAACTGCGGATTGCGTTGCTGTTCGGTATCCCAGGGAGCAGTGTTGGCGCAAGCACCTGATAATCCACAACACCGACGGTCTGGGCGAGGAGTCGCCAAGCTGCGAGGTTTAATCTTGACCTTGATCATCCGATGGACACATAATCACCTAGATAGTCGCCTGCTTGAATTTGTTCTTCCATCACGCGACGAGAAGAGTTTCGATACTTGTTATTCTCCAACGCTTGCATTCGATTCATTTTGGATATGGCTAAATCAGCGTCGCCCACGGCAAATACTTCAGCCGAGCTGAGTTCAGACCCCGCTGCATCACCAGCACATGGTGGGATCACGATCGAAGCAGCATCATTGGAAGTTGATGATAACTCTAGCGTCTGTCCTCTACTTCCCTACCTGCTTCCGAGCCCTGAGAGACAATTCTGACAATTAGAAGACGATTGATGATTCATCAACTATTGAGGACCGACTGTATGATCGAGCTCAACCTTCTTCTTTGTAGCTGACTTCGGCCAGTTGCTGATGGCTGCTCTTAGCTCTTCATACACCGCATCCCTTTCGTCAAGCGTGATAGACTATCCAGAGGAGTACGGGCGCCGATATCATGCGTTCCGAGCAGGTTGTAAGTAACCACATCGCCCTAGGTCGCACTGCACCAGCATAACTCACAAAAGTGATCGCGGCGGATAGCATACAACTTCCCAAATGATGAGGTAGGCTCACGTGACGATCTTTCTCCGGCTCGATCCCCGCTAATGGCGTGTCCCGATGTGTCTAGAGAGAAATGGACCGCCTCGATTTGTCGCATTTGGTCGTTGTTAAGACGATTGGCAACAGATTCTTCCTCGCCCCTGTTGACACTGAAACGACGCATCGAATCCTTGACGTTGGGACCGGCACCGGAATTTGTGAGATTTCTGTCAGAACCTGCACCTGGTTATGCTTTACTAAGTTCAACGATCAGGGGCCATCGAGGTTGCCGACTTGTTCCCAACTGCGGAGGTACACGCGCATGTTCAATTCCCATGTAAACAGTAGCTTAAGACGGGCTAACATGAAGGATCCACTAGATCATCGGAAATGACCTGAGCCCGATCCAACCTGAATGGCAAGAACACCAGTACCGACGCCAAGAAGCCTGCTAATTTGTACATAGGGTGCCTCCGAACGTCAAATTCGAGGTCGATGATGTCGAATGCGCATGGATTGTCAACAAGAAGTACGATTTCATCTTCTCACGGGGTATGGCAGCCTCGATAGGAGACTGGCCGAGATTAGTCCGAAGAATATACGAGTAAGCGCTTGATGTTTTCTCTCCCAGATTTCTCTTTTGAATGTTGACGACAGTTCGTCCCATGATATTCGCTGTGTATCCAAGCTGAGGCTTGAATCCAACTGACGTGCCCTATGCTAGAAACTTAGCCCCAAACGGGTGGGCTGAGTTCGAAGATATGAGTGTGATCTATGGATGCGACGACGGAACCGTCACTGAAGACCTCGCCCTCATGAAATGGGCTCGTCTGTTTGCTGAAGCTTGCCAGAAGCTTGGACGCGAAGACTCGCCGGGTCCCAAGCTTGAGGATTGGGTCCGTCAAGCCCCTTTCAAGAATGTCGTTCATCAACACTTCAAGATCCCTCTTGGCCCATGGCCCAAGGACGCTCATAACAAAGATGTCGGGATGTGCAATCTGGCTCAAACACTTGAAGGGCTTGATGCCTTCACTTTGAAACTTTTTATCGGTGTTCTTGGGTGGACTAGAGAAGAAGTGGTTGTGCTGTTGGCCCAAGTTCGCAAAGACTTGAAGAATAGCGCCATTCATGCATATCTGAACTAGTAAGCCGAGAGAACCTAAGGACATTTAGTTGGATAGATCTCAGTTAACAACTGTCCAGTCACGTTGTCTACGGGCAGAAAATTGAAGTTGAAGAGGAAAGAGCTGCGGAGGACTAAGTTTTAGCATAATGTTATTGGCATGAGACACGCAGCAGAGGTGGATGGAGTGAGTTGGACCAAAACTGGAATGATCAAGAGGTTAAAGGTGGTGGATTATCGTCGGAGAAAGTAATTAGAAGAGAAGTAGAAAAGCTGAAACCTCATATGCGAGCTTCAAAAAAGAAACGGTGTCTGAGCTGATCTGACAAATGGACCTTTGAGGTTGTCCGAAACCTATTGCGCCAAACGCCACATTACAAAAGAGACCAAAATAACATGAGCTCCAACATCACAAGCTCCAGCTTTAACCGCCTGGTACACCCGCGCGGATGTTGTCGTACTGACTGTTAGGGTAGCTCAGCTGATTGAGACTCTGGTCCTGGGTGCCCGCGCCACCGAGTGCGTTGAAGCTAGTTGCCAGAAGACTCCCGCTGTCAGTTCTGTCGCCGCTAGCCTCCCAGAACATGGAACCACCGAGGCCTTTGCCCGTCAGGTACGAGACCTTGGTTCGTACAACAGCCGGAGTATCGTAAGAGATCAGCTCTTTAGCGGCCGAATCGTAGCTGTAAGAGGCAACAGCTGTGGCATCGTAGAGCTCGGTGGCGCCCGCTCGAGGAAGAGCCTTGTAGTCCCACACTCCGTTCTCCCAGGAACCGCTACCGATGCCGGTGAACGGCTGGCCGATACCGTTGGTCTGTTCGAATGAGCGTCCATAAATTGGCATGCCTAGAACGATCTTTGCAGCAGGAACGCCGACTGCCAGATAATCGTTGACAGCGGCATCGGTGGAGAATGGCGTCGATGATGGGTTGCTGGGGTTGGGGTACAAGTTCGCTTGGTGGCCGCTATTGGCATCCCAGGAACCAGCATAATCGTACGCCATCAAGTTGAAAGCATCAATAACATCCGAGATCGCTTTGAGGTTCAAGACGTTGTAGTGGCTAAGCCCCGCAGGTGAAGCGATAGTCAACAAGTAGTGGTAGCCAGGAGTGTACTGGGCGGCGTAGGAGTCCAGCTCGTTCCTGACAGCTTGAAGCAGGAGGACCATGTTGGCTGCTTCAGTGGCGTCTGCTGGGTACTCCCAGTCAACATCGATGCCGTCAAAGCCCCAGTCTTTCATGAGCTTGACAGAGGATTGAGCAAAGAGGGTTCGGCCTTCGGGCGTGCTGGCGGCGGCGGGGAAGTTGGTCGACCATGTCCAGCCTCCAATACTGAGCATGACTTTCATCCGGCGGTTAGCCTTCTTCAAAAGGTAAAGCTGTTTGACGCAGCCATAAGCGTTGGTGCCAACATCGTTCCAAGCTAAAGTCCCAATGAGTCAGCATGAGTCGGGGTCATGTTCACCACGGGCAAGAAGCCTTACAATCAGTAGGATAGTGCTTCTCCAAATCGGCATAGGTGTCGGCGGTGTAGCTTTGAGTGGGTTGAAATGTTAGCTTGCGTGTTCCTGGGCTAGTCGTCTAGGGCAGGCTGCGAATTGACTTACACCTCACCAGTCGCGCGGAGATTCATGAAGGCGTAGAGGACATTGGTAATCTGCGACGCCGGGAGATTCTGGGGCTGATAATTGCGACCGTATATCGCCCTTCAATCAGGTCAGTAGAGCTCTGTTACCTCGGATCTATCAACAACTTGCCAGTTAGTGAAGTAGACTGCATTCGTGTAGCCTTGGAGACCTCGCTCCGTGATATTCGTCGGCGCCGCCGTGGAGGGACGCACAGCTGTTGAGAGGATGCCACCCATAGTGATTAATGATTGAAGAAGCTTCATTTTGATAGCGGTATGAGTTGATCCGTTAAATAGCTTGCTAAAGGAGTGAATACGAGAATATCTCTGCAAGTCAGGCACACGTCACTGGACATGAAGCGATCAACTGATCATATTATACTAATCAAGTCCGTCAATTTTAGACAAGACGCTATCTACAGTAGTCAGTCGTCAAGCAACAATGTCATTGTCCAAGTCCTGATGTCCAGTCGTCTGGGTGTGACTTGCAAACCCGGTCAATTCCCAGCGAAACGTTACGCGTCTTGAAAAGAGGTCGTCAATAATTTTCTGGGCATGTAGACCCCTTAGATCCGCTTCTGCGATCACATCTCGGTATGCCGGCCTGTGCATGTGCAAAAGTTTCAGCGCGTCGTCTGTTTGTCACGTTCAAGTGGTAGCAGTGAAGTTGACGATGACCTGCGAGCCTGGCCGCTCAATGTACCATCAACACACCATAGTCAACTATACCCACCCAGAGTACTGGTTGCAAGCAAGAGCTCGGAGATTCGCTATGAAATTTTGTGTGTCAAGGGAGCGCCAACACCAAGGGTGAGGATTTGGCGATGGTGCCCGGTGAGTGGCTGGGAGTAAGGTGAGGGGCCGGGGCTAATGCAGGTGGTAGCCAACTTTCCTCTGTTAGCACAACGAGAAGAGTCGTCCAGATTGGCTGAAGTCTGATGTTCTTCAGGACTTACCCTTGAATGGCCATGTGCCTACAATTTGGCCAATGTAGGGTGAATGACCGAGTCGGGGCCGAATGTGACCCTCCACTGTGTGGGCTTGTCGCCCGTTTGGGACAGGCTCAATGTGAGCACATGCTTCTTTTCTGGCGAATCCCCAAAAGCTGTCCTTTTCTTATCGCGGTAAAGGAGGTATGGGAGAGACTTGTGACGTGTTTCTGCTAACTATCAATTCCATAGAGTGGGTGTTGTCTTTGATAACTCCAGCCAAGTTGCACTGCCGAGACAATTATACAAGACAGACTGTCAAAAGAGAGACCAACCCCCAACCGAAACAGTCAAACTCGGTTCAGAGTTACCCCGTCCCAAACACCACATTGAAAAATCCTACGGAACTCGCTATTCCCATCTGGAAGGTGAAAATGTGATAAGACGGCAGCGGCACATCACCCGCTCCGCCCTCTCGTCAAGAGCGGCTACATCAGGGGCAATTTTTTGATGCTAACACCATCTGAGCAGCTGCCATCTGATGTCTTGCATATTGCAGAGTGGTATTGGCGGTTGACCCCGAGGTTTCTTATGCCATCTGCAATGTCCATGAGGCTCAATCCAAATGATATATGATCTGCAACGTTGCAAATGGAAACCGAAGCAGTGGGTTCTCAAGATTAGGATCTACAAGGGGGAACGAACCACCATTCGGCACCAGGATGATACTCGCGATCTATGTATCCAACAACTACTACGACATCGTGAGCGTTTGCTACCTCCCGACTCGCCATCCGATGTTTCGACTTGCCATGTCTCGTGACTACTTACCTTGGTCATGGAACGAAACTGGATCGGTCCGCACGTTACCTTGGTTGCAACTGATGTTGACCCCCGGCATCCGGCAGTATATATCGTCGAAGGATCAGATTGAGGAGACAGAAGCGGAATGAGTTCATTTTTCCAACGATTACATACCATGCCGCGAGGCACAGAGGAGTTGATTGTTGCATTAAGTCTGTCTGACAAACGCTACACTCTCACTTGGCAGTTCCCATAGTTTCAGTAGCACGTTGCTCTGCAGCTGCATCTGTTACAGAAGGACTTCGAGTCACTGCAGCTGGCGGATGTTGAGGATGCGAGGCGTCTTGAGTCAAGTTGCTCGCATTTCCATCGGCGGCCCCGACGTGTGTCTCGTCGCCGGGTTCCATGTCGGCCTGCTTTTCAGCCAGCTCTTTCTGAGCCTTCCTGATGCGGCGGCCTCGTCTGATGGCCCAGATAGACAGACCCATAACCACAGTGCAGAAGACACCGACACTGAGGCCGATCGCGAGGTTTGTCTGCCGCGGAAGATGTCCAGGGTAATAGCCATCATCCAGGTAGGTTCTACCCCCGTCATAGGATCCGCCTCCGGAGCCCGAACCCGAACCACCTGTTCGACATTGAGACGAGGTAGACGAGCACCAATCCGGCATGACGCTCGTCGAGGCGGGGATCTCAGCTCCGTAGCTTGAGAACGGAACTAGGTCTTCCGTCTGGGTGCTGCCGAACTTCGTCTTTGCAAAGCCAATTTCTTCATTGATCAGGTCGAAGACCATGTAGGAATGCTTGAGGAATGCGCTGCCCAACGAGTAGGGATAGGAAGAAGACGTGTATGTCGAGGTGGAATTCTCCGACTGCACTCCGAACAGGCAGTACTCGGAGGCCGACTCGGTCTCCCAAGACCACTCCGAATGGGACCAAACATCTTGAGACACCACGAGGTCGGCAAGAGCTACATTCAATACAGGTCCCTCCGATCCGTACAGTTGCACAGCCAAGCGACCCGTGGTGGTGTTTGCCGTGCAAGGAATGATCGCATAGCCGAGGTCATCATTCCAGGAAGCGCCAGCCAGAGCCCAAAGATCTAAGGCTATGTCGTCGGGTAGCACTGATAGAGTAGCATCTGGCGAGAGAAGGACCAGGTTCGAGGTGTCATATGCGTCGGTTTGTTGACGCAAAGATTCTCCGAGAGGCTGCAGGTCATCTGTATCTGACTCGCTGCCATTGAAGGACGTGATAATAGTGTCAAATCGCCTGCCTGTTGACCATGACCCCGTTCTGCGCACGGAGAAGCGGATCAGAGGGCCATCAAATTTAGATGTATCGATTGCGCCCAGCAAAAGATTCCCAGACTCGGCAGATGCATCGTCCAGCCAAAGACTATACGCAGGGGAGCTGATGAGATCATCTTGTACCAAGCGTTCAGGAACGGTAGGATAATTCGAGGTACTGCTCGGGCTCGCGGTGGATTGTGCACTTCCGGTGGTGTTGAAGCCCAGGCCCAGAACACCGATCAGTACATCTGCCGACTGAACGTAGCCCATGATCATCTTGGATATCTGGTTGCCGGCCACGCCTAGCGTGTCGCTGATCCATTCTCCCTGAGCTCGACCGACCGAGTACCTGGTGCTGAAGTCCTCGGTGCCGGGATTGACGTAGGTGGATGACTCGTTGCTCTGGAAAGCACCGTATCTGCACGAATATGAATCGAGGTAATAGGCATTTCTGGTAGAGGAAGAATCGTAATAGTCGCTATAGTTGTAGTAGTCGCAATACTTGGCGTTTGGGACCCAGGTGTACTCTGCCTGCACGGAGACTCTCAAGGAAATATCTTGTGGCGGTGTACCGACAGTGGCGTTGACCAAATAATTCCAATCTGTCACGTAAACATCCACCGCGGAAACTGATCGACGCTCCGCCACGTCCCTGGTGTCGACATTGCTACTGGCCTTTGATTGAGGTCGGTGGGAGAACGGTAGATGAACTTGCGCTAGGGCAGTGGCAGCGCAGCCACTGAGCGCGAAGAGAGCGGACGTCCTCATGACGATGACGGACAAAAAACGAATGACGGCGATGAATGGCGCATGGTGGAAAAAGAGGGAAAATCGAGAACAAAAGGCGAAGGGGTGATAAAGAATCAAAATGTGAGCCGATGCGACGAGAATTTCAGGCTAATGCAAAGCCAAGCGGCACAGTATCTTTCAAATAGGCAGCAGAGCAATAGCTCAACCAACACGAAGGAATACGATGCTGTAGACAGGGGTTTAGCGACATTACGAGGTGGAGTTCCACCGCATGAATTGGGTTAGGTGATCTAGCATTCGCGAACTGACTCTAGCTAAAATTCAAGCTTCTTTTTCCAAGCCACCCCCATCAACGGGCATTGGCGGCTGGTTTCTCAGTTCTGCAAGGTCAGATCTTTCTCAAGGTTCCGTCTTCGCCTGAGCCGGCGCGTTGAGAAGCTCCTTCAACTCCCCGAAAGCTTTGAGCATGCTCTCCGATTCTCCCTCCCACTTCTTCCGCGACTCTTCCCCGATCTCTCCGTGGCCCATGGCAGCCACTAGATCCGGCCCGGCCCCACCCGCAAAAGCAAGCGCCGGTCGCGTCGGCGCAACCCGGAGTTTCATGCCTTCCAGCGTCTTCTGCGCCTGCGCTGACGCCGAGTTGCCGCCCATGATGCCGTAGCTAACTACGGCAATGGGTTTGCCGATCCACTCGTTGTACAAGTAGTCAATGGCGTTCTTGGTGCCACCAGTCAGGCCGTAGTTGTATTCGGGAACCACAATGATGTAGGCGTCGTACTTGGCGATTTCCCTGCTCCACGCTTTGCTGTGCTCGTGGGCGAAGTCACCTGCAGCTGGGACCTGAGCGGGAATGATCTGTTCATCGAAGACGGGAAGTCTGAAAGTAGCGACTTCCACGAGATGCAAATCGATGCCATTGGTGGTAGCATCTGCGGTGATAGTATCTTTCACTAGTTCCGCGACCTTGGTTCCAATGCGTGGGGTTCGGGTGCTCGTCGCAATGACGGCAACTTTTCTAGCGGAACTCATGTCGGTGAATTGAAAGATTTGAGATCAGAACGTCTACGTCTTGACTAACTTTTGCAAGAGTTCAACAATGTCTATGACAAGTTGAAGGTTGATAGAGACTCGAAGTACTCAAAAGTGAATGTTGATGCATGTTGGATATACAGTCTTTTATACAAAAGTTGAAGACTTGACACCCTGTGCACATAAAGCGTGTCCCTCCCTTACTCCCGCCAAGTCTCATGACTTCAGCTCTTGTGCCGCTGATTCATAATCAACTTAAGTAGTCCTATTCCAGACTCGCTTGACCACGTCACAGAGAGGATTGTCATCTATCTCGGACGGTGGCTTGTTCTCGACTCTTCAGAAGCACGCCTGACCCGCGCGCATCGATTGTGAGAGGCGTCTTGAAGTCAGACAGATGTACAGTCAAAGACTGCATCTACATACCACCGTTCTCATGGCAGCCTATGAAAGGCGTCTCCTCGTATCAACTTCGTGTGGTTTCTTTGGTGCTTACACCCGCGCGCACATGTCCACGTTCTTTCGTCCCAACTTGGGGAAAGACGAAACGAGTCGCGCGCGGGGAACGGTAAGACGTAGCGACCCGCGCGGAGGTTAGTCATCCACACAAAGGTGCGTCAACGAATGGTAGAGTTTCCCTCGTACACAGTTTCGACGAACCACCACCACCATCTCCAACAACTCTGTCGGTGCATCGCGAGACTTAAATTAGCGGTGTGCCTTAGTCGTCCTGCGCTGACCCGCCAGCATCTGTGGACCACCAACCATGATCTGGTTATTCCTGCCTCGGTGGCTCAGTGGTAAAGCGTCTCACTCGTACTGTTGTCCGTCATGAGAAGATCGGGCGTTCGATTCGCCCTCGAGGCACCATTGCTTTTGATTATTTTTGTATTCTAGGATTGAAAATGATCCGCTTTACATGAGAACAGAAAATGTTGAAGATTGAGATCTGGTTTGATACTGGGATTACAAAGAATGGCTTTTGTGTGCTTGGACTTGCCATTCTATTCGCGGAACTGTCTTTACCAGGACTGATCTCATGTGGCTAACATGAGAGATGCGCGAAATATGGCATAGCGTTTCGAGTCGAAGGTAACATCTTAGAACAGTGATTGTTTGGGAACCCCAATCTTCGACTGAAGGTGGAGTTCGAAAGGCAGATGATGCAATGATGCAAATGCCAAATGGTCATAAGATTCGCTCCTGCACTCAAGTCTTTTTTTTCTTTCTCAGTAATATTGTACTGAGCTTATGCTGGACAGTACAATGATCCAGAGCAGCAGGAAACAGCGGCATCTCGGCCTGAGTCGGGTGTGCACTAAGGTAGATGCAAGTCAGCTATGAAGCCAAACCGCATGGCACTTCTGCAGTGAACACGAACCTTTGACTTGCAGATCGCCCATGGATCAGCGTAATTGATTCTGCACTACGACGAGTTGGTATATTAGCACCCAATATCCTCATTACCTGGAGGTCACCCAGAATTTAGTGACATGTGGACAATCTTACGTCTTCAAAATTGCAGTCTTAGGGAGGGCCAGTGCAAAATTGCGCGGAAACACCTTGAAAGATGACAGCGGCGGCAAGGAATATGGTTGTGGATTGGAAGTGCATTGTGAATCTGTGCTCGAAAAGATACTTGGTGCAGATGATGGAGCTCGATAGTCAGGTGTCGAAACTTTTGGGATTGTGAAGTGTGGTTGATGTGATCAATCAGGTCGTAATATCAGTGTTAATATTGTAGGCCGACTTGTACTTATATCATTCGCAATTCACTCATCCTCTGCAGCTCGTACGGAATTAAACAAGATTCACGTTGTATAAAAAAGTTTTCAGCATGATGTCTCAAGGTAAGAAAAGCTGCAGTATACGGATACCCGACTTGTCGTGGATAGAGTGAAAACCAAGCGGCAGCAATTCGTGTGCGCACTAGCAGCTACATCCCGTATCTCCTATACTGAGTACCGGTGCGAATAGCTCCGTTCCTTCCTTACTACTGGGCTTCTCTACGGTACAATTGAGTTCGCTATTGAATAGACATGAGACGAGGCCCGCCTATTTTGTACTTGATCCTGACTCGCTCTTGGCTCAGATGATGGAGTTTACAACGGAAGCCTGGTTTCTTTATACAGCTTAAAAGCACTTGCTGAGCTCCAGCCAGCTGAAGCCCCGGGAACCGAAACTGGATGTGGTGTACGGGGGGAGGAATTGAATTTTGAAGACATTGAGGCGGGTTCGTTTGCGAAGTTCGCTCGTATTCGTAAGTGATGTGGTGGCAGTCCTCCAAGCCGTCCCTATCCTTTGAGCCTCCGAGTAACTCTGAATCGGTTCGGCTTCTGGTACCAAACATGTAGCTTCTAGGGAACCGTACGTTGGGCAGTAAAGCTTCAGTCGGTGGGAGTCAATGTGTAGTAATTCTGTCTATTTTGACGCATGTTAAAGTATGACAACAAGCACTACTGTGGCAATGACATGAAGAGGAGCACGGAGGGGCACTGGCTGAATGTCTTGTGCGGTTTGGGGAGTCTCGATTGCTACAAAGTTACTTACGTTTTAATCCAAGGCATCACATATGCTTTTTCCAATAGTATTGCAACAGTCTGCAGTGACTCTGCGACCGTGCACTTGATTTACAGTCCATTATTGGACTTGATCTTGTCTTGCCGCGGATGCTTCCTTTCTTAGCTCATCAACTGGTCAAGTTCAGCGTGCATTCACTGCGCTACTCCATCTCGCTGGGCGAACCGATGACATGATCTTACAGGGGCATGCCGGGCCTCATCGCCGACAGCCGCAACTGAACGGGAGTCTTTCTGTTCAGGGCACCACTCTTCGCCCGACACATGTCTAGACCCAAGACCAATGACGGACTGCGACCAGGACCCTTGCTCAATCAACTTCTCAATTCTCTTTAGTGAAATTGTCAGTAATGAAGACCGTTGCGGTGTGGCTTGCAAGGGGGCTTGCCTTGGCCAGTCCAACTGGCACCAACCAAGGAGTGAAATACCAGGGAACATGACGTCACCAAATAGTCGCCCCTCGCCAAGAGCGCGATGGCATCGAATGAGGTCAATGACTGAGTTGGGCATGAGAGCCGTCAGCAAGAAGGAATCCTGCTTGTCAGGCCTCTCGGCTAAACAAGTTCTTCTGTCCATTGCAACATCAACCATTTACTTGGACAGTCGAGTTTCGAAATATTGTCAGATATATCTGCAAAGTCGGCACCTCCATCGGCTGCATCCGATCCCGATTTCTGTGCATCAAATCACACAAGGATCATCCTCCACGAACCACTACTCTCTTTCACGTTAGACAAGGACCATTTCTGTACCTGCGACACCATGAGACGAACCAGTCGCATATTGCTAGCTTCGCTAGCCCTCCACTCCACGACCTTCGCACAGTCCGACCTGCCATCAAAACGTGGGCTGGCTTTCCAGGGCGACGACCACACAGCCGACAGTCAACTGCTCACCTCCGCAAAGTCGTTGATCAGCTGGTATTACACATGGTCAACATGGCCTGCACAGGCCCTGAACAGCTCCATCACATTCATCCCGCTCATCCACGGCGTTGACGATGCTTCAGATTCAGGCCTCAGCTCTCGTCTCAACGCACTACCCGAATCATCCACCCATCTCTTAACTTTCAATGAGCCCGACGGAACAACATCATCTGGCGGCAGCAGCATCGACCCAGAAGATGCCGCGAAAGCCTATATTGAGCACATTGTGCCCTTCCGCAACTCTGGCTCCCGCAAATGGAATATCAGCCACCCGGTCGTCACCGGCTCCCCGCAGGGCATAGAGTGGCTGCAGAAGTTCAACGAGTCATGCTATGACATTGACGACAACGGCTGCCCGATCGACTTCGTCGCCGTGCACTGGTACGGCGACGCGACCGGCCTCAGGAACCACCTCGACGGGCTGCGGGATTTCTACAACTCCACATCGCCGGATCTCAAGTACTGGATCACGGAGATGGCCCTCCCTAAACAAAACACTGACGCCACTCTCGTCATGATGAACGAAAGTCTAACGTATTTGGATGGACTGGACTATGTCGAAGGCTACGCCTGGTTCGGTGCCTTCCGCAAGGACGAGGCCAATGCCTGGACCGGTAATTCCGTGTCGTTATTCGACGGCGACGGCGGGCTAACAGACCTCGGTGCTTTATACCTCGGCGGAGATGAACAAGGGTTCGAAAAGGGACAGAAGGGCGAAGGCAACTTTGCAAGCTCGCTGTCTCCCACCAAGGCGCTGCTTTGGACAACTATTCTTGCGGCTGTTGTGACGTTGTGGTAGACATTTTCAGGACCAGCAAACGCCGAGCAGCATATCCTGCCTAAAGGGTGGTGTTTACGAGGATATGTCTACGATTTATTCTTAAGTTTACGTACGGCTGAGTGTGCCGGTCACACAAACATAGTGCACTTCATAGCGTGATTGATACCTTTTTCATTAGATTCTTCCACTCATATAACAGACTAGAAACATACAATCAAGATATACCCATATATGTAACATTTCAATGCAAACCAAAATCTTGAAACAGCGCCCTGGAGACTGAGGTTTTATCGATTGACAACTCCAGGCATCCTCACTTCTAGTACGGTACTCGATCATTTCCAAAGCTCATTCACTGAGGCAGCTCGTGTCGAACATGTTGCTGATTAGATAGCTCGGGAGAAACCGCGTGGGCATAACCCCAAACAGGCTGTGTATTCGGACCACCAGTCTTTGAGCCGTCGTTCTCAACCATCTCTAATGTTTGTGTGGTCTTTGCCGTGTTTTTCTTCTCGCGCAACAGCATTACAGCTAGTGCTCCAGCAACAATCGCAAGAGGCACACCGACGCCAACCCCAATACCCGCCGCGGCGCCCGGAGAAATGTTGCCTTTGCTGTCTGTATCACTGCCCATGGGACACGTACCAGTGCTGTTTCCAGTGCCCGATGTAGCTGCGGGACTGTCCCCTAGATCTGTGCTTGCCGCTTCGTTTAACATGATCTTGCCGGGAAGACTGACGGTGAAGTTGCCGGTCGCGCAATTCTGTAGGTTGCTGCAAGAGAATCGTGCGCTGCCACAAGTCCAGACGCCGATATGAAGCGAACTATCTATCAGACAAAGTTCCACATATTAGCGATTATTCTCATCAATGAGATTGCCTGGTAGCTTTCCAACAAAGCCACACTTACCGCCTCCAGGTATGTCGCTCTTGTCGCAGTACTTGGGACACCCGTTTGACTGGAAAGACTCGTCGGTGCAAGCACCACGATACATGGTCAACGTGAGAGGTTCGAAGCAAAGACCATTCGCCAGGCAGTAATGGTCTTCGAAACAGCACGCGGCTGCTTCGGTGTCCGCGGCAACAGGGCAAGGTTTGACGACGTCGTTGGGGACTCCGTTAGGCCAGTAACAGGTTTGGCCAGCCGCTAGAGTTGCCACCAGGGAGATTATAAAATAGAATCTTAGTTCCATTCCGCTCGGAATAACGTATTATAAACGTTGGCTGCGTGTGTTTCTGTCACCTGTTGGAGGATGGATTGACCTTGATGAAGAGGTATTACCTCGAGATATACCTGAGAATTCTAAGACGTAGGGACATCCGAGGGAACCTCTTCAAGCTTCTATGGCCCCTAATTCCTCCTCGATCAACACTTGCTATCTCAGATTTGAAGCTCTGCATGCATGACCTGAGGTGGACGAATCCTACATGTATGTTGAACAGAGGCCTTGTAAGTGCTGTGGTAGAAGCGTCATGGACTAGCTGCGCTCCCTCCTACATGCATTATTCAGAGACTTGATCAATCATGAGCTTCTAGGTCTCTCTGAGTAAGCTCAGGCAACCCACTAGGCTCGACTACTAATCCGCTTACAGTGATACGAGTTCCAAAGCCAAGTGATGAGCTGCCCTCCCAAAAGTCTCATTACTTGCCAAGATATGCTGATCTGGGCAAGAATGGTCGTCATTACAGGCCATGGACTGCGTGCTTAGGAACAGATTAGTGCTTACCGTATTGCCGTGCATGGGAGGGATCCAGGAGCCTGGCGACTGAAATACACGTTGAATTTATACCGGTGCGAATTGGCAGGTGCTTACTGCACAGGAGCAGATCCAGACATTGGATGCATTTTCTCGCATGTCGGCAAAGTCGGGGAGTACAAGCTCGGCAATACATTGTACATTATTTTAGGGGCCAGACATCTATGATCAGTTGCGATCCGATCGGGTGTAATGCTCATGTGAACCTCGATCACATGTACTCAGGGCACAAACGCCCAACATTGTCCAAGGCATGGAGAGTTGCGTCGACTCATGCTGCTGTCCAACAGCATCGAATTCAAGTGAGAGAGCCCTCGGAAACCATGACTATGTTATTCCCATTCAAGCCGGTCGGAGAAAGTTTTCAGACTTTGACACATTGTTCAATTGTCTTGCTCGCGTTTGTATGCAAACGCTGGTTGAGAAGGTATATACAGTATAGGTAGCATGCTCCAACCGGCACTGCCGGACTGGGCACAAATGCGCGCTTGGTGGACAACCTCGACACTTGCTGACCGCTGTCTGTTGCGTGCTGTTAAAAAGCATGTAGTTGTTTCTAGCGGCTTGTCTCAGTAAAATCGGTTCCTTCTGACAGAACAAGGTTGACGCTACCAGAGCTCGGACGAACCACGGGAATTTCCTCGTGAATTTTTACTTGCGGCACAGACAGTGTCCAAATTAGAGGCGGGCCACCCCGTGTGCCGAGAGTTCCACCATCAGGCGGCAATATCCGAATCACGGAATAGTCTTGGCGCATTCCACGGCCAAGACACTGCTGAAGCTTAATAGATACTCTCGAACTCAGTCGATCGTTCCTGGTCATGGACTATAGGACTTAGGACTTTGCCTTGGTCTGGCCAATCCTAGCCATGAATATTTCATAATGTGTGAGCTCAGTAACTAAATGTTTCCCAATGTCGGTTGCGTTTCGCCGTCGTATGTGTGACTTCACCTTGGACAATCGATACTACATTTGATATCGACCAAGTGGATATTAGATGCCGAAGGAAGAGTGGTGGAGCACACACAAGAAAGCTCTTGCAAAGGATGCTTTCGCAAAGGCTGAGAATGGAACTTGTGGCAATAGCCAAGACTAGAAGTGAAATAGTGAATGAAGACTCGGACTCTCGCGCTGAAGGAATGAACACATCCTAGGTTCCTAGTCCGCGAACGGACAAATCCGATCTTGAGTCAGATGGAAGTCTGGAAGAGGGACACAATGGCACTTAAGTCCTTCAAATTACTTTGGAAGTCGTAAGGCATCGCCTCGTTTTCCCCGGCGACAATTTATTTACAGTTTTGGTCTCGTTCCGCGGCCGCCCACCAACACATGCACTGATTTATGAAGAAATATAGTGCGTCCCCGACGTGAACCTGCAAATAAAGTCTACACTGAGCAGCTGTTTCTCTTTGCTCTGGGATCTCTTCCATCGTCCACCCACACTCTTTTGAATCTTGTTGGCCGTCACTCCTTTGCCGCTATCATGTTGTTGAAATCTCTTAGCCCTCTGCTGGGCTGCCTCGCCGTCTCCCAGACCGTTGCTGCATCACTGTTGCCCCGCGGTGGCGATGACTCTGGTGGCCACCCCTGGATCAATCATGACGCCGTCGTTCCATTCACTCAGAAGCCTTCCGTCGTTGGTGGAAGCCTGGAACTTCGTTTCAACCCTTTCCTCTTCGTGTCGGGAGGTTGCGACCCTTACCCAGCGGTGGATGCCCAGGGCAACCTTGGGTAAGTAAAATTCCTTTCTTTTCAGCCATTCATCTGGCATAGACTACTTTTTGAGGATGACACTATGCTGATACGATGTCAAATAGCGCTGGCCTGAAGCCTACTGGTGGTGGCCGCAGTGGCTGCGGTGACGGTGGCTCGGCTCAAGTCTACGTCCGTCGTGGAGAGAGCCAGGGCCGCAAGGCGATTATCTACAGTTACTACATGCCCAAGGTTCGTTGGGCCAAGGGAAACAACAATGGTCATCGCCACTACTGGGCTAGTGTCGTTGTCTGGGTCAACCGCTTCGGCTGCGACGACAGCGACATCACGTCCATCTGGCCCGTTGGCATCTCCTACACCACCGACCACCTGAACTGGGGCTCGGCTGCTGCCGGAGAAGTCTCGTTCAGGTCTTCAGATGTTGGCATCGATATGGCTACACACCCCAAGATTCAAATCCACGACGAGGCCATCGCGCCCTTCACCGGCGCCGATGGTGATAAGCTTTTCGAGCGTACCCTCATTAGCTGGGATTCCCTCCCAGCGCTCGCAAAGAAGGCTTTGACGGACGTCAAGTACGAGAAGACCCAGGTTCCCTTCACCGACGAGCACTTCCAGGCTCAAATTGACGCCGCTTACCGTGATGGCTTCTATGCTGGTGTATCGAAGGAGCCTGACTGCCCTTCAAACGATGTGCCTCCGGCTGATGACCCGCCCGTCACTACAACAGCAGCGGCTGCCGAACCTACCGGCTTGGACAAATAAGCGCAACAGTTAACTGAATCGAAAGAAGTCATTTCGCTACTGGCTGTTGAGTTAGGCGACACTTCTTGGGTGAACGATCGAACGAAAGTCTGACTGTATTGATCTATTCACAATTCGGTCACCGACTTTTCCATGGAGGACTGGAGGAGGCCATCTGCTACTTAGACGAAGAAAAATGAGTTTTAATTTTCCAAGTATTCATAATCATGACTGCATTTCTCTCTGTCGATACCTGGTGTACTGTGAATGGTCTCATTCTCGGCTATTTTCTAGGAGTTTTGCTATTGGGGCAGTAACCTACTTTTCTAGCCAATTAAAGCCAATAAACAGAACTTTAAGTCCAGCGACCCTACTACACCTGCTTACAAGCTAATTAGCGCACTTACTTATTAATAATCCCGTATTTATATAAGGCCCGCGTTAGATAACTACCTATAGTCGTAATTACCCACGGTCATAATTATTTATATATAATCGTAATTACTTATATACGGTTATAACTACCTACGTACAATCATGATTACCTCTAATTATACCTACTTAAAGTTATATTATATAATTACAATAATTAAGTAATTATAACCGTACGTAAAGTAAGTAGTAAATAAGTTAGTACGCATAGTTATTTCTCAAAACAGCGCGGCCCGGAGGTATATAAGGAAGGTAGCCCGTGTAGGGATACAAGGCCTTCTATTAGTCAGAAGAGTGGGCTACTGCCCCAATAGCCAAACAGTACTGCCCCAATAGCAAAACTCTTTTCTAGACCACATGAGCGCCTAAAGAAATCGACTCTAAGTGTCCACTGTGCAGCGGAATTTTTCGGAGCAGGCTAGATAGCCTCACAGCTCTTGGCTAGAGTTTATAAAAGTTCACCTTGAGATTATCAGCATGACCTGCAGAATTCTTTAGTCACAATGGATTACTGCGTATCCTAGACTATCCCTTGTACGTGATACTAACGCGATGTTGGAACATTCAGATCAGAGCATCCCAGGCGTCATATTTCCGTGTCTCTTCGACGGGCACAAGTTACCCATCTCGTGATAAGGTCACCATTAATTGAGGGACTCGACCGAAAAACTTGATAAACGTCTTTTTTTACTTCTGGTTAGCTAATGTACAACAAACTTTGCCTTTATAGACCTGAACGAAGCACATCCGCTTGATATTGATGCGACACCGCACACCTTCTACCGTGAATACAATTGATAAGTTTTCGCCGAATCTACCTATGATTCGAAATTGAGTTCTATTAGATGTCCGACGGCAGAGGCTTGTGCGAAGCGCTGGGCGCCGGTGGGGCCTTGGAGGGCATCGGACCAGCCGGCTCCGGATCAGTGGGGTCACCTCCATCCTCATCGCCGTCGCCGCCCGGAAGATCGGCATAGAAGCCCTCGTCGAATGCCTTGTTCAAGTTGTCGCCAAAGTTCTTGTCGATAAAGGGGACCGAGGCGTGCTCGAAGATTGCACCGTCCAGCTGCTTCTGCGCAGGCTCCGGGAGCATGTCCCAGTCGATGATTGGGAGGTTGAGGGTGTTTTCCATGTTCTCGGTGAGCGGGCCGACGATTTTCTTGCCCCAGTATGCCACGAGCGGATGCGTGGGTCTACCCACCAGGCTGGCGCCCGACGACCACTTCGTGGCGGGATACGAGCCAACGTTGTAGACTCCGTTGTCGGTTTGGTAGCTAATGCCCACGGGTTGCGCGGTGTTCACGTCGGCACCGTAAACCCATACCACGATGGATGCCCAGTAGTGACGATGCTCCTTGTTGACTTTGGGGACGTAGAAGGAGTACATGATTCCGGTGCGTTCTTTGACAGTGCCAGTTCTGACGTAGAGCTGACCTTCACTCGACCCACAGTCACCGTTTCCCTTCCCGGTGGGCTTCAGACCGGCACTTGATGAAAACTTCAGTTAGCCTCAAAAGCCTATAACAGCCAAGGTCGTAACCCCTAGAGACAGAGTAGATGTGCACATACCCGAGATAGCCTTCAGCATCTACAGCTGGGAAAGGAACACATCCTCCTAGAACCTTTATGAAGGGCTGAAAACGAAGTTGAAGTTCTCCCTTGGATCCAGAGGCAGCTTCAGCTGGAAGAGAGTGGATTTCGTCATGATTCTTCCATTTGCCATCTACGGCCACATCCTTTGCTCGCGCTTGCAGAGTGGCCGAGAAAACGCTCGGGATGCTGGCAAGCAGGAAAGTTGCAAAATTAGTTAACTTCATTTTCCTAGTCGAGGCTGAGTTGTCGAAGAAGCTGATGGTTGACAACCAGTGTCTGCATGGGAGATTATATATCTCCGGTCACATGGCGGTGTCACCTACGCGAGTAGACGTCCAACGCTGCAGACTCCGTGCAATGCAGAGAATGAAGCCATCATTTCGTAACATGAACACGATATTCCAGCGGCCAAATGAACGAATAGTCACGACGAGAAAGCATAAACAGTTGAGCCGTTAGAGCTTGGGTACATTACCCACTTTCAACGAATTGCCGTAACCTTAATGTTACTACCCGTCGGAAAATGAGGCTTGTTTACCTAGTGATCATCGTGGTCTATACATGCTATACCTACAAACCCAGACGTCTCGAAAAATTCTTTGACATCCCTGGTGGCCTGTGAAGCATGACTGATACATTTCGTGGTCGTTTGAAAAACAGGAAAAGCGAAAACGGAAATTTGGACGGACGCGCCGAAACTCATTTGGGCACCCTGATAGCTTCACAAGATCAAGAGGGATAGACCCCTTAGCTAGGACGAGATCAGCGAATATCAGATCACATTTTACCTAATGACCGCAAAGCCGGAGGAATTTTCCCGGTCTTTGGTTTGCTTAAATCTCACAGACTCCCAAATCTTCAGAATTTTAGCCTGTTGGCCACATCACCATCTCCAGCTTTCACTTCTTCAAACTGTGTACAATGCGCTCTCTACTATTATTTTCTTCTCAGTCTTTCCCTTCTGGGAGTCTATGCCGGTATCTTGGAGGAGCACGGGTACAAGGTTGACGAGTACCAGAATGGGCTATACATTGTCACCACTCCTCATTACTCGGGGGGGAACGCTCCGGTGAACAAGGTCAGAATCAACGTGGAGAAGAAAACCATGACCGTCTATTTGGCCTACAATGGCAAGGAGGAGGACCACGAGGACAAGTTGTACATGTCTCAAGTCCTCGCGGCTCTTTGCGACAAGGAAGGAATCGATCCCGACGATTTGTGGTGGGTTGTAATTGACGACGTCGATAACGTCGCTACAAAGACAGCCATGACCCAATACCGCACCAAGTACGGCCTTCGTTTCAAAGACGAGATCCGAGTCAAACCCGACCAAGAAGCGGATTGGGCCATCTTCAACCAAACTCCCTTTTACCGAGCCGTATACCGCATGCTTCCTCGCAAGGGCATTGACCAGATCATTATTAAGAGGGAGGATGGTCAAACAAACATGTATCTTTCAGTTGAATGATTGCCTGGAGTAAGTTCAATCATTTTTTGGCACCTGACTTGTGGGTGTGTAAGAGCTTGACTGATCACGCGTAGTCAGTGGTCTCAATTGAAGAAACACGAAAATAAGAAGGCTATTAAGGAGCTGGAAATGAGTTGGTGTAAACCTCGAGCCCAGAAGCTCGTCCCGATGGTACCGGTAGCACTTGAAAGTAGCTGTTCAGCTTTTGAGCAAGAGAAGCCATACAGCAACTTATTGGCCTCACCGATGAGAGCTTGAAGCAGAGGCGACTAAAGCACCTTATAACGGAGAAGTAGCAATAGAAAATTCAGACCGTGGAAGTGATCTTTTACGCTCAGCCTCATGATAGAATATTGCCTCGAATGGCTTCTCACGTGATCCTTTACGGGGTTTAACGGTCGTGACGCATGTTTTACCAGTCCCGTCGGCCTTTTGAATAAGATGCAATGGGTCTCCTAGCAGACAAACTCGGACTTCGTCTATTACTGAAAACCTCACAATATGCATGGCGCCGGAAATAAGGGGATGGCTCTTCCAGTAGTTTCCGCCGAGTTGAATCATAACTCTTTTCTTGATCTGCTGCGTTATTAGGTTTTGCCATCTTACTGTGACAGCTTTGCTCAGATTGTGGGACGTGGGTAAAGTCTCAAGCTGACGGTTTTTTGGGCCTTGAAGGTGGGTCATTGACGATGGATGCAGGACAGGAAGATCATCAGAATAGCATGCATTCATTAGGAAATCTCGAATAAGTGACATTACTTAGGCAGGATGAATTGCAGCACAGGACGTTGGCATACTTCCCGCCTCAAGTCGTCATGTCGGTGCATATATCGGTACAACTAAGGTGCGGATAGTTCATAGTAAATGAAGGGCCACCGTGAAGCTGTTAAAGTGGGGTTGCAGCTCGGCTAGCCAAACTCTCAATTAGTGACAATCAATATCGGTTTGAATTGAGTTGACTCAAACTAGCTTTGATTAAACCGTCTGTGAGGCTGATTAACTCGGTTTCTTCGGCCATTCCCGCCCCTCCTCAAATCTTGCAAATTATCCACGTTCCTCGACGTAGCCGGACTCACCGATGTTCAGCGGCCTGTGCTTCTGATGACACCTTCGTTCACCGCTGTGACAATCCGCAGTTGCAAAAGGCTCCGGACGGTGTTAGTCATTTGTTTTGAGTATCCAAAGCCTAGCAATTCATTGTGGCAGATAGTATCCGTACAAGCATTAAGGTTGAGTTGCACTTGATGAGTGATCGGCGAGTTAATGTCGCTACACGCACTTTTACCCGCGCGATGCATGTTACTATCAAATATAGTATGTGCCTATGGCAAGTCGGTAACGCCGCCTCTCACATTTGTTCCTTTCCGGTTACCTGATGTCACATAGTCGGCCGCTGGGGAATGTGGAGTTCCCGCCAAGGCACTGTGTTCGTGGCGTTAAGTAAGTAGAGCAGACTGAATCGTTAAGTCATATTTCACCGAGAGTTTCTGGAACTTTTCCATCCCACACTGTATTTGAGTTGAGCGTGCCTCCATCCTTACGAGATGCTAATCTTCAGTGACACCGGCGCTGAAAGCCAATTTTATTGCAAATAAGGCTACCAAGCTGACGGAAACTCCGTAATCAACACAATTGCCCATCTTAGATATAAAGAATCATGCTCGCAAACAGTACCTTGTCTTTGACTATGTATGCTCCAGAGGGCACTGCACTTTTCAGTCCTCCAGTCACTCCTTAATTGCTCGCAATGATCCGACACGCATTGACTTTGCTTCTGCTTTCCACGACCATCACTGGTCAGGTTACCTCTCCCGACAGTCCTTACAACCCCGAGTCGCAGAATGACGGCGATGTCTTGGAGGAGAGGGCCGTAAGCCCTGGCATTAAGCCACTCCCAAGCGTGAAGCCGGCCCCGGGCCCGAAGCCAGCCCCGAGTGTCGAGCCTCCCCGAAACCAGACTTCATCCCACGTTCCATCGACGTTCTCCAAGTCGATCCGTATCACCACTTCCTCTCACTGGAGTAGCTATGCCCCTTCCTCTTCTCGGAAACCGACATGGAGCCCGCTTCCTTCTTCTACCCGGAAGCCCAGTCAACTTCCTTCCTCAACCTGGCATAGCAGTGCCCTGAAGCCGTCGTCCACGCCGGCTCCCATCCATGTGAGCAACGGAGAGACGGTCGCCGCGGCCGTTGGCGCGGTGATTATCGGAGGTATCCTGGGTGGCTTCGTCATGGCGCCTTCCGGTGCGCTTCTTCCCATTGCCGCGGGACAGACTGCCGTGTTGTCGGCAGCAGCCGGCTCCGGGGCCGCTGGATCGATGCCCGAATTCGAATTGGACCCCGTCGAAGATAAGCCTGATCTGCCCGAGTCCGTCCCGGAGGTCAAGCCCACCCAGCAGAAACCCACCGAGAAGCCCACCGAGAAGCCTGCGACGCCTACACAGGTCCCGACTCCCTCTCAGTCCTACGATCCGGAGACTGCCTCCGAGACCTACGACCCTTGGACTTCCTCGGCTGCGCCGTGGTCCTCCTCGGCTCCGCCGTCAGAGTTCCCTTCCTCGACGAGCGCGCCCTTCTCCTGGACCTCATCGGAGCCTGCCTCCTCTCTTGTGACCACCTCATCTGTCTGGAGCACAACCATCGCCACTTCTACTTCATCGGCTGCCCCGACCAGCACTGCCCTCAACTGGATTGACCACGACAAGGTCGCCGCCTTGAACGAGGCAACCTCTCTGGGACTGGAGGGTCAACTCCAGCTCCGATTCAACCCCGAGCTGTTCGTTTCTGGAGGCTGTGATCCCTACCCGGCCGTTGACGCCTTCGGAAGTCTTGGGTAAGCTCATGAAGCTCTCAAAACAACGTTTGAAAATAGTATGAGCTAATCATCATTTACAGAGCTGGTTTGAGACCTACTGGCGGCGGACGAAGCGGATGCGGCAACGGAGGAACCGGACAGGTTTACGTCCGCCGTGGAAGCAGTCAAGGCCGCACCGCCATCATGTACTCATACTACTTCCCCAAGGTCCGCTGGGCCAAGGGTAACGACAACGGCCACACTCACTATTGGGCCAGCATCGTCGTCTGGGTTAACCGCTGGGGCTGCGAGGGCGACACGGACGTATCGGCCGTCTTCCCCGTTGGCGTGTCGTTCACCAGGGACCACACGGTATGGGATACTGCACAGACTGGCGACATCTCCTACTTAGAGTCGACGCACCCCAAGATGCAGATTCACGACAACGCCATGTCGCCGTTCACTGGCGCCGATGGTGATAAGGTCTTCGAGCGTACTCTCGTGGCTTGGGATGCCCTTCCCGACGCAGCTGAGCGCGCGCTGTCTCTTGTTGAGTACGAGAAGACCCAGGTGCCGTTCATTGACGCCAACTTCCAGACCTATCTTGATGCTGCGTATAAGGAGAGCTTCTACGGCGCCTTGACTGATCAGCAGGGCTGCGGCGGCACCAACTAAGTATCGTGAGCTTTCGTGTTCGGACAACGTAGAAGCTAACAAGTTCCCCCTGCAAAATACGCAAGCGAGAGTAGCTGAGCAAATTGAGACTATAAAATAATCACCAATCTTAATCCATTTGCCTTGATAGTCACATGCATGTTAAGATACACTTTGAAGCCTCTGGCGTTAGCTTTATTTTGACAACACCTAAGATATTGATGAAAGTGTGCTTTCCTGACCAACCGGATCAAATACCGCACGTGAGCATCTGACAATGTGATGAATAAACTACTCGGAATGGCTGGAAAAGAGGACATCATTCCGAGACCGTCGACCTCGGGCATGTCACCGAGCCCTCCATCCCACCGGCGAAATTTTGCCTATTTCAACAGAGATCCCCCACGCTTCAAATCCCGGGGATCCCACTTGGACCGAACCATTGAAGACAGCCATCCATACTGAACACCCTCTTGACCCTCCACCTTGCCAGGTCTGCCATAAAAGCTGCGAAACACAGCCCATCTCGATGCCATCTTGGTCGCTAATCTGGAAGAGCCCGTGTTCCGGCTGTCCGTAACAGGCAGGGTGGAGCAGTGACAACGTCAAGCGCGGGGCCGGATTTGCTTCGAAAATGCACGAAATGCGGGGAAATATGGGAAAGATGGGGATGAAGGAGTGTTCCCGCCGGTTAGGCCTGATTCGGTAACTTTCCGCCGACTAGTTGCCCTATGAGTTCTCCGCGGGTTATATTCCCTTTCACGAGATGCTCGTGGATGTGGGAGGACGCCACTTTTGGGCGACGAACTTCTCCAATAAGGGACCTTGAGATGTGGATGACGAGGGTATATAAAGGCATTCAAAATTCTTGAGCGATGAGCGCGTCTTCTTTACTTGATTCTATCTTGAGTAACTTTCACTAAGCGCTCTGTCCTCAAGACGAACTATCCATATCTCAAACCGTCTTAGTCCAAGGTAGACGCCAAAAGGAGCAGATACCTCTCTTCAAACTCTCTCAAATCATCGCAATGCCTCACGCAGAGTCACCTACACCTGACGCCCCTCCCACTATCAACGGTGTCCAACTCCACGTCAACGACGACCTTCTCTCCGCCAACGAAGTCGAACCACTTATCCAATCCCACCTCACAGAAGATTTTGACGTCCTCCGCCAACGGTACCGGCAACACGGCTACCTCCTAATCAAGGGACTCATCCCCCGCGAAGACGTCCTCTCTGCACGAGAATCATACTTCTATTCTCTCGCCCCCTCAGGCGTGATCAAGCCAGGTACCTCTCCGCGAGAAGGCATCTTCGACGACGCAAAGTCGGCCGCAGATTACCCCGGCATCGGCGCTGGCAGCGTCAAGAACGCCGCGCCAGGCGAGACAGACCGCTCTGAGATCTTCACTGAGGCGGCTCTCAAGGCGCATACCGAGGATTGGTATGCCGGCTCCGAGGATGGCTCAGTGCGGGGCTTCTGCAACCACCCGGTCCTCCGCGACTTCGTCGCCGAGTTCACTGGCTGGGGCGACGAAAACACCCTCACCGTAAAGCGCACGCTCCTCCGCAATAACACGCCGGGCAACAAGGCCATTGGCGTGCATTATGACCAGTCCTTCATGCGGTACGGCGAGCCGACGTCCGTGACGGCGTGGGTGCCGATCGGTGATGTCCGGCTTGAGGGCGGCGGGTTGATTTACATGCAGGACGGCGAGAAGCTGGGCGAGGAGATTGAAAATGAGTTTACGACTAAGGCAAAGGCAGCAGGAATGAGCGATGAGGAGACGAAGAATGCGTTTAACGCGAATATGATGAGCACAGGATTCTTGTGTGATGGGCCGGCGGACTTTGGGCGTCGGTATGGGAAGAAGTGGCTGGTGAGCGCGTACGAGGCCGGTGATGTTGTTTTCCATTCGGCACACATGGTATGTTTTCTCCTCTCTTGTTTCATGAAGTATCTCCGCAGGTTGCTGACTGCGACACTAGATTCATGCTTCAACCAAGAACTACGACCCCGAGGGGCGCATTCGACTTGGAACGGACCTCCGCTTTGTCGACAAGCGCCGGCCATGGGATACGGTAAGTCATGTTCTGCTTACTTGCGCTATGCCTTGCTAGAAGGACGTCTCTAACAAATATCAGCGCTGGGATAAGCATTACAGCTTCAACGATGGTGTCTGATATGCCTAGGGCTCTTGCGCATGACGCCGAGAACTTCCCGACGTAAGCATTCACGATGCAAGATTGCGTGAAGAGAAGAGATAGAGTCGACAATGACCATGACGCATAGCCAGTGAAATTGAATCATCTTGATTGAAAGCTATCAAGTTGTGACCATTGCTCCTTCAAAGTCTTTACCAACGCCCCTGTCTTCCATTGCACGATGGTCCTTACTTGTGCGAGATACTTGATTGTATGTTCTCGTTCAAGGGAATGTCTTATTAAATGGCCGCCTGCGAGAAGTATCAGGATCACGGGACTAACAGGTACATCATGTCTATTGACTTACACAAAGACAGCATATGTGCGGGCAAGTAGTATGCGTTGACAGCCTCATTGGACCGGGCCAAGCCCATGAGCATACATAAATAGAACGTGATTTCACGCTGTGTGATGTTCAGCAGAGTGCATGCGTTTCTTTCGATTGCAACTCACCTCGCTGTCCATCCTCTTCTTCGTTCCCTCAAATCCTGCTGTCGGATTTGAGCTATTGTAATCCTGAAAGGAAAATATCGCTTTCGAAGCGTAGTAATACCCGAGTGCAACGGTGCCTACAACAGCATTACTGTCAGTGACTTGCCTCTTCCACAAAGTCGAGAGGGACAGAGCAGCATTCGCTGTATGAAGATCCATACCTGGATCTGCGGCCATCCACAAGGTCGGGAACGGTCTTCCTTTGGCCACATCCGCCCGTTCATAGAAAAGGGGCTGGAAAGAGAGTGGCTTCTCCTTGAACCATGCGTCGACATCATTCTGCAACTCCTCCCAAGTTTCTGAGCTGCTCGTGCTGAATCCCGATCCGTCTTCCGGGAAGAAGAGTTTCAGCACTTTCGCAAACAGGTAGACGATCCGGTTCGCGTGCGCGGTGTCATCGTTACTTCTAAACGTAGAAGACCTCTCAAAGTTTTCTAGGCATATTTCGATTGGCGTCCTGCGAACTAGGAACACATAGAGTGCTTGTCGTAGGTGGACCCAACTCGCGGCCTCAGCCAGCCCACCTTGCGTCACGAAACGGGCAATGGCGTCGTGATTAAGCAGGTTTCTCGTGCCGCGAAGGTGATGGTAATGGGAGTCTGTCTCGTTGTCGTACTCTTCGTATAGCCGCATGATCACGACGGCCGTCAGTAGAATCGAATCCCACGTCTCTGGAGGTTGGGAGAATGCTTCTATGAGCAGTTCGATGCAGCGATTGTGGTAGTACGTGCTCTCCAAATCGGATTTTTCGTTTATGTCGTCGTTCCCCTGTGTGTCGAAACGACTGGCTAAGGCGAAGATGCCGTTGAGCAAGATCGGCTTGCGAAGGGCGAGGCGGGGGACGTCAAGGGTGAAGGGGCGAGCATCATGACACGCATCAATCTGGGATCATTAGATGCTGTTGTTTCCTCGTCAAAAAAGACGGGAATGATGTGAGACAACACTCACCGACGGCGCGATTCTCAAGATATACGTGCGGAATAAGAAGGCCTGTCGTCCGGTGAATCCGCAATGTTCGGGGTCCACGGGTTGAATACGGAATTCTGCATCCGAAATGAGACTCTCAGCACGCTCCGAGGCAATCTGGTGTGAAGACCCGGCCTGCGTTGACGGCGAGTCCCCCAAGAGATATGAAATCTGGAGCTGTGGCTGCACCTCTCCCGATTGCCACTGCCCGCTGTCCGAGGTGATGCCATCTCGCGAGGAGTCGAGATACCCAGGGCTTGAAGTGAAGCTATCCCGGTGTTGTCGGTTTTCCTGCGGCGGCCCGCTGTTCAACACAAAGCCGATGGGCGCACTACCGTCGCCGTGAGATCCATGTCCGGTGAATCGTTGTGCCGGGGCCTCGGCCCGAAACGCGTGCGTTGCCGGCGGTGAGTAATCGAAGTTGAGCTGTCCTTCGTATGGCGTCAAGCCGTGCGGAGATGGGTGGGATGTAAAGCTGTTGCTTCTATCGCCCGCTGTACGGACGGACTGGACCGCCGGTGATGAGGATGCCTCGGATGCTGCATCGTCTACACGGCTAACTTCGCTCTTGCGTCGGGCTGGACAGAGAGAGTAAGTTCCTGACGTGCATGGAAATCGGCAAATGGATGAAATCGAGACGCGGTGCAAGAGACAAAGGCTGGAAAGGTCACCTAGGAGAGGAGGGGGCAAGGTAGGCGAAGACCCGAAGGGCCCGACGGGAAGGGTGGGCGCGGTAAAGCATCATCAGATAAAGGAAGGTCAAGTCAAACCTCGGTGATCCGCCTTTTGAACTCTGTCCCCGGAGAGAGCTGCCTTTCTGGAGCTACCCGGCGCATGCTTAAAGCGTAACGTCGTGTCAAAGTGACACTCGAGATCAGCCTCGATACAGGCGCCGCAACCCGTCGCGCCGGGTTGGACAACACATTTACGGTGACGCCGCCGGCAGGCGTCACAGCAGCGTCGGGGCTTCATGTACGGTCCCGGCCGCCGGAGGAGGGGACTGGAGCCTTATGTTTACTCGTATCCTCTCTCTCGCCCGCCGAGGTCCTACGCAGAAGCCCGAGTGTCATCCGACTGTGAGCCCATCTGTTCCGGTATCTCTGGGTGTGTTGCGGTGTGTGACTGTGCCCTTGTTTGCCGTTGACGCTCCTCTCTGCTTTACCTCGGAGAGTAATCAACTTGACTCTGAATGGGCCGTTGGCTGTGGGTTTGCTTGCCGGAATGGGAGCGGGGTGAGCAGACGACCGTACGATTTTGCGGGGGTGGAATGAAGAGAGTTGAATCCCGCGGGATACATGGCCTTTTGAAGACGTGGGGAGCGCTTGGTCGGGGCTCGGGATCGACGCTAGGCGGGGGGATAAATTGCGGGGTGAGCCCCCCTTCAAGGGAAGAAGTGTTTGTTGTCGAAACCGTGACTTGTTCAGTGTCACCTTCTCCCCTTTGTTGCCCAACGGTCCTGTTATTGAACAGGGTATCCATATCAATCAGAGCCTTTCCAGTTTCTGATGTAAGTTGAAGTAGGTTGGCCGCCTGAAGTGGTCATCGTGAAGAAGTGTCCGGTGATGTCGATGCTCTGACAGAGAGAACGCCTCTGCAGCTGGGAAGTGCATCGAGTCATGTTCAACACGACCAAGTAGAAGGCAAACGAGAACCATCCAACTTTGAATAGTGGCCGCCGGGAAGAGCTACTAGGGAGGTACTTATAAGGCTGCCACCAAGGAGCTCTCCGAGAGTCCAGTCCAAATCCCGCCCGATCTCCGGCCTAGTTATCAGGTACCAGCTCAGGGCTCGACAACAGGGCGTCTGTCAAGACACATCTAGACCACAATCGCCGTCAATTACCTATCTTAGAGAGCTCATGTCGCCATCCTCAGTATGACCTCTCGATGAGGTTTGTTTCTCCGATTGAGATCAAGAATAGTATCTAACGGGAACTCCAGCCGTTCACCCAGTGCCCTCAACCCAAGACCAAATCGGGGCAATTTCCCTACCCATCACCTATTCCAAGTAAGCCAGTCTCGGTGATTCTCAGCCTGACGTATTCGCTCCAGACTCTTGGGACGTCCGGGATATGTTCTTCGTCAAGGCACCTTCACCTATCGTACTCGACTTGCTCTACATAGCAGGCGTGCATCAAAGATGATGAACGACCTCGCAGCGATAACTCGATACTGTGAGTCTCGCACCGCCTCGACGAATATTACGGCGGTCTCAAACAGAGCCCTTTAAAGATTGAGGGGATTGCGAGCCTTACACTGAAAAAGACGCGATCCAAGAAGCCTGAACATCTACCACGAGGCAACATCGAGGCGCATGCTCTGGCATTGGGCAGCATCTCCTAGTTTTTCCGACTCACTCATGACCTGCCGATGGAATCGTGTTGTTTTGATGGATTCTTGCGAACATATTCACGCTGCCTCGATTTGCTTCACCAAACCCTGTCTATGTCACTTCATGCCTAGATATATATTGCCAAATCCATCGCCGATGTTATTTACAGGTGACTAAACTTGAGACGCGATTGTTTTGAGCACGGTGAGCATCGTGAAGGAATACTATTCCCTCATTATTCATCGCAAGTAATTGAATCGTATCTCACGGGAAGTCCAACGAAGGGAATCAGCTGAGTGGGCACTTCTCATCCCATCTGCACTATACATCCAACATCAAGGTAGATCGTGAGTGAAATGACAGAATCGAGGCATCACATGCAGACATGAGCCCGTGGGTACTCTGTAACTGGTAGCAGTCCAATTGGACCTGCCTGCCGATGGTAAATCAAGGATGGTTCACAGGTATTGTGGTATCGGAGCGAAGAGCTCGCTTCTGATGAGACGTAGAGCCCAAGGAACTTTCATCGCCATCGTGAAGGGCGGTCATCAATTTCTACAATACTCGATACAATATCCTCATGAGTAGTCCTCATAGGGGAAATCTCTAGCTGAGTTCAGGTATTGAGAAGAGTTGCAGTTCATACAGATTTCCCCTTTCACATGAGATCTGGCAGGATATTACCGGCGTATCGCGACCCGCCTGTCCATCACAAGACGCGGCTCAGGGTAGCAACATATGAACGGTATACGCTGCGTAAACTAAGTTCTAATGACTTAGGTAACCTGCGAGTGAATGGATCGAGAGATGGTCTACAAATTCTGCAATCCTCGCCCCGCTTCTCAATAGTCTTCCTCAATCACAGTGTTTTGTGGCTACCCTCAGAAGGTTGTTCAGGCCACCCTGTAGGATAAAACTCTGTTGTAGAATGCCTTCATGCTGGTGAAAGAAGTAGCCCAGAGAATCTGAACTAGTACTTAAAGCCACAACACCAGTTGCGAACCTCGATGTAAAGCAGTCAGCTGTACTATCATCCTTCTCTCAGAGGAAGCTTGAGAAAGCATATGAATTCAAGTGCTAGGTGGGTACTAGGCTGTTCTATCAAAACTATACTCTCGTGCTTACGACTTAGAAAGAAATCGTTTTATTCGATAACAAGGTACTCAGAACTACTACTTGTCGTCGACCTTGATCCTCCTCGGCTCAGTCATTGCGAAGGTTATGATGGCGTCCATGCCGCTTCGGCTCGCACTCATGTGATCGGAAGGAACTGACTAACGGAATGCCACTGATTGGCTGGGTTTTGGTGGAGCTCGGGACTCTTAGGTAATCGCCTGCTCCAAGATCAGCTAACCCCCATAAAGAGTGGCGTACTCACAGTACGTACCTGATCTGAGGACCTGGCCCAGATCTGGTTTTTCGCTGCGATTCTTCTTTCTTTCCAGATCCTCTGTGCATTATATCTAAGTACTTACTTAGGTTAGCATCCCTTTGTCCAAGTGCACGATCAAGAGAGTGCCATCCCATACCTACTCTGTTCCCACGAGTTTTCGGACTGTCAGTCTACCTATTTCATGAAAATGTGGCTATCCGTTGGCTGCCTGGCAGGCTGGCAAGACAAAGACACCACTGTCAAGGTACCAGTCGAACCGGCGCCGGTCTCCGAGCGTTCGGTCACCGGCAAGCATATGGCCCCATGACAAGACGGCTCTCGGATCCGAAGACCGCGGCGACGCGCAATTGACCCGGGTCGAGTTGCTGGTTATGCTCCATCTCCGGGTCCGACTGCCCTCAACTCGGATGAGGTTTGAGTCACTCGAAGTGATTCCGGCACCGGACACAATTGTGTGACCTGTAGCCCAAGGCCAAGACTCAAGGGCTGAAATTGCACTACCTCGTACAAACGGTGACCAGTAGCCAAGGTGCAGCCAAGAAGCCAGGGCCAAGTCAACTGACGCGTCTCTAAACTCGCACCGGGCGGTCTGAGGCCTGGGCACCTTTTAGGGCATGACACCTGGCCTCGTCACAGCGAGAGAAGCAGAGATTGTAGTCAAAGTCGGTCACTACCACACCTCTACCCTCTTTCTTTGCTACCTTATAATCTTGTTCATATGAAGATCACATCCCAGCTGGCTCATGGTGGAAAAATCCAGTCAAACACCCAAGCCTTGGGGGCCTGTGCTCAGTTGAACTGAACTGAACCCTCTCACACTGAACAGTAACCGAACCAACTGTGGTGGACTGAGAAATTCGACTTCTACTGTAGTATTGATCAGAGGATTGGGGAATTTTCGATATTTGATTGTGTGAAGAATCATTCGACGTTGTTGGGTTGAGCGCTGTCGAGAAGCTCCGAAACGCGCTACGTGGCACTAGCACGATCTACCGCGTGGCGTCTCTGCGCACGTCCCGACGCGATGGATCTCGAGCCAGATTCGACGTCCATCACCGTTGCGAGGGAGGCGGTGGCAGCGAGCGACGAGGACCTGCCATCACGAAGGGTGCGAAAGCCATCCGCGAAAGCCCAACTGAACCAGACTCATCAAGAGATAATCGACAATGCGACCGACGGAGCGACGGAGGTTGCTGGTGGTGGCCGGCGGACGACGACCAAGCGAGCCACAACCCTGGCCAAGGAACGCGCGAAACCCATAGAGGATGACGACAAAGGGCTGCTCCTGACGATGGGCAAGCAGGTCAAAGAGCTACACACAGCGGTCAAGATCATGTTCGATGCGTGGAAGAAGTCGGAAGCACGGAATAAAAACGTTGAGGCAGAGCTTCGCGTGGTCACTTCGGAGCTGCAAACAGTCAAGAGCGAGCTACAGGCCGTCAAAGGAGAGCTGCAAGCGATGAAAGAACGCGTGGAGGACGAAAGCGCCAAGACGAACGAAAACCTCGAAGCACTCGCAACAGTTGCTGCGACGCGGAACAGCCCAAGTGTGTCCTACGCGGACGTCGCGCGAAGCGGCTTAGGTGGGCAAGGTCGCGACTCGCGGGTAGCCACGGCGGGCAACGCGACGCTGCCGAGCCGCAGCGACCCCTTCTGTACGATCGATACATCAAGAGTTGAAGAAGGCAGCGACAAGCTCAACCCAGGCCGGATCCGGGCTGCGGTGGAAAAGGAGATGCGCGCGTTGGACGGACAGGGTAGCTGGCGGTGTCTGGCCGTCACGGTAGACCCAAGGAACGCGGATAGGATCCGGATCATTTGTCGCGACGATGCGGAGCATAGGTATGTCAAGCAGATCGCGGAGAAGAGCTTCGGCCGTGGAGCACGCGTGCTACGAGACGAACTCTATCCCGTGAAGATCGACAACGTGAAGCGAATTGAGGTACTGGATGAGAAGGGCAATGTCAGGGCTGAAGCGGCGGAGGCACTTAGCCGAGAAAACGAGACCACGGTTGCCAAGATTTCTTGGCTTAGCAAGAAAGAGATACCCAAGGCGTATGGGTCCATGGTCGTGTTCGTGACCAAGGCCGGTGATGCGCGTAGACTGATCTCCGAGGGCTTCTTCCACGTTGGAGGAGAGTCCGGCACGACGATGGCGTTTGAACGGCGGCCGCGCCCCCAGCAGTGCTACAACTGCCAGCAGATCACGAAGCACAAGGCGTACCAGTGCGTAAACCCCCGGGTGTGTGGACGATGCGCCAAGGTAGGCCACCACCACTCTGAATGCCGTGAGACGATCGTGACATGTGTGCCCTGTGGCGGACCGCACGAGTCGTTCAGCAAGAACTGTCCGAAGCTGTATCCGCGTTCCCATGAGTAGGAAGGTCCAGATCCTTCAGCTCAACGTGAGGAAACAGGCTGCAGTGCACGAAAGTCTGATGAATGATGAGGCGTTGCGCGACTTCACGGCCATAGCGGTGCAGGAGCCATGGGCGCGGAGGATAGAAGGTAAGGTCATTACGGTTCCGATGGGCAATAGCAGGTGGACGAGGATGGTACCAACGGAGTGGAGGGACGAAGGAAGATGGGGAATCAGGAGTTTGCTTTGGGTGAACAGAGACGTAGAGACAGAGCAGCTGCCGATAGCGTCCTCGGAT